AACTCCAGCCGGGGCAGAAGTTTTAACCGAGGAAGAGGGGGCCGGGGAGGAGGACCCCCCGCTCCCCACAGACCATGGGGACCCAACACCGGAGGATGCTATTACTGCCAAGAAGAGGGACACATAAAGAGGTTTTGCCCCTACCTAAACCCCACAACCTATGGAGTACAAGGCTCTAAACCCTTTCCGGCTCAGACCAATTATCCTCCTTTCCCGATGCGCCCACATTCCAACATAACCCAGGGATATGGCAACCAACAACCCACTATGCAAGCACCTCCAAACCACCGACCTCAACCGGGCACACAGGTTCAAATGCCCGCTATGACTCCAGCCACTCATTCTTGGGCAAATGCCACCGCTCCTCCCTTACACCCCCCCAACCAGCCACCTCCTGAAGATCAAGACACATACTGACAATCACCGCGGAATCTCAGTCCGGCCCAAGCCATCTACCCTGTCCTAGCATTATCGCCAGATGACCCTATCTGCACGATTGAGATCGATGGCCACCCCTATCGATGTTTATTAGATACGGGAGCTACGTACTCGACCCTGACTAGCAGCCACCTAGAACCCGGGTCAGAAACCAAGAAAGTTATGGGACTGGACGGGATACCCCGCACTTGCCCTCTCTCACAACCGGCCAAAGTCACCCTCGGACCCTTATTGGCGGAACACACCTTCCTCCTAACGAGCAGCCCAGTGAATCTCCTTGGCAGAGACCTACTCTGCAAACTCAATGCCACCATAAAATGTTCTGAAGATGGCATCTACCTGTACATGCCCGAAGACTCTGTCCCTGCCTTTCAAGGCATGGTATTAGAGGAAAAATTAGATCGCCAGTTTCCCGAACTTCCCCCAGAACTAGAGAATGAATTACCCCCTTCACTGTGGGGCACGGAATCAACTTCTGTAGGATTACTATTATCTGCCACCCCGGTAAGGATTACCTATAGAACTGATCGGCCCTTCCCTTGCACCAAGCAATACCCTCTACCCAAAGAAGCAATCGACGGACTGACACCTATGATAGAAGATTTCCTCAGCAAAGGGATCCTTGTTCCCTGTGCGTCACCTTGTAACACCCCAGTGCTCCCCATAAAGAAACCCTCCACAGAAGGAGCCCCAGTCCGGTACCGTTTTGTCCAAGACCTGAGACTGGTAAACCAATTCGTAATACCCCGCCACCCAGTCGTGGGCAACCCTAACTCCCTCTTAAATGCCATCCCGGCGGGAACAACCTGGTACTCTGCAGCGGATCTATGCTCCGCCTTCTTCAGTATACCCTTGGACCCCGCCAGCCAATTCCTTTTTGCATTTACCTGGGGACCCAGCCAGCTAACTTGGACAAGGCTGCCCCAAGGCTACGTAGAATCACCCGCGATCTTTTCCGCCATATTACACCAGGACCTACAGGACGTGTGCCTGCCTGCTAACTCCGCCCTCCTTCTCTACGTAGATGATATTTTATTGTGCTCTACTAGTGAAGAGGCATGCAAATTAGACACTAAATATCTCCTCTCAGAACTAGCCCGGAAAGGACACAAGGTGTCCCCTAAGAAGTTACAATATTGTAAACAGGAAGTAAAATACCTCGGACACATCCTAGGAGTGGGTACCCGAAGCCTAGCCACCGACAGAATCGAGGCCGTTACCAGAATTCCCTCCCTAAGACTAAGCGGCAATTACGCGGCTTCCTTGGTATGGCAGGCTTCTGCCGAGCATGGATTGCCGGCTATAGCGAAATAACGAAGCCTTTAACCGCTATGACCCGCCAAGACCACCCAGATACCCTGGTCTGGGAAGAGGAAGCTTATAAATCCTTCGAACGCTTAAAAAGAGAATTACGGTCCGCTCCTGCTTTAGGACTGCCAGACTACCGGACTCCTTTTAACCTGTTCATCCATGAACAAATGGGAGTCGCCTCAGGGGTCCTAACCCAACCCTTCCGAGATCAGGAAAGACCAGTAGCCTATTACAGTCTACAACTAGACAACACCGCAAAGGGAGCAGTGAGTTGTTTAAGAGCTATTGCCGCCGCTGCGATCCTCCTTGAGAAAGCCCAGGAAACAGTCTTGGGACATGAAATTACCATCCATGTTCCCCACTCGGTCTCCACCCTCTTAACCTTGAGAGGTTGTCATCACTTCTCAAACTCTCGCCTAAACCGATACGAAGCCCTTCTATTAACCCCATCTAACGTCACCATCAAACGCGTCAATTCCCTGAATCCAGCTACCCTATTACCCCTTCCTGATGATGGCACCCCACACCACGACTGCGCTACCATAGTCCGCCAAGCCGAGAAACCGCGGGAGGATCTAGACCACCTTCCCTTAGAAAACCCTGACCTCATACTGTACACTGATGGCAGCTCAAAGGTCATCGAAGGGGAAAGGAAGACAGGGTACGCAGTCGTCTCTGACTTTGAAGTCCTGGAATCCAACCCAATTAACCCACAGTATAGCGCCCAAGCCGCTGAATTAATTGCACTCATACGTGCTTGTGAACTTGGCGAAGGGAAGAGAACCACCATTTACACGGACAGTAAATACTGCTTCGGGCTCGTACACACAACCGGTCAAATTTGGCTTCAAAGGGCTTCTTAACTGCAGCCGGCTCCCAAATTTCACACGCCGCCCTAGTAGAGAGACTTCTTACAGCCATTCACTTACCGAGTGCAATAGCAGTAGTCCACTGTAAAGCACACACCAAAGGGAGGGACCCGGTCTCGAAGGGAAACAGACGGGCTGATAAAGCTGCCCAAATTGCTGCCCTTCGCCCCCCAAATAATGAGTCCGAATTTCAAGCCTTACAATTACCTACAGACATAGACGCAACACAAATATATGATTCAGCCCCAGAGGAGGAAAAATCAAAATGGGAATCCGTGGGCGCAACTGAACAGAATGGTATTTGGACCCTCCCCGATGGCAGGACAGTCCTTCCAAGAGCCTGGGTTCCAAAATTAGTGAGAATCCTCCACCAACAGACTCACTGGGGAAAATGGAGATTAATAGACCACGTTACGAGGTCCTGGTACGCCCCAGGGATAGCCACCGCAGCTACAGCAGCCTCCAAGAACTGCATTACCTGCCATCACTTCAACCCCAAACGTGAGCCCAAAAGGAAACCACCAGGAGCTAGACCGTGGGCCTTTGTCCCCTTTGAGAGTTTACAGCTAGACTTTATCGACTTACCCCAATGCCAAGGCTTCAAGCATGCCCTGATTATAATAGATCAATTTTCCTCTTGGGTGGAGGGATTCCCCGTCGAAAGGCCACCGCATCGGTAGTCGCTAGGGCCCTCCTTCAAGACATCATTCCTCGATATGGGATACCCCGCCGCCTAGACAGTGACAGGGGAACTCACTTCACTGCAGAAGTGGTACAATTGGTGGCCAAAGCCCTCCAAATAAAGTGGGACCTTCATACACCGTACCACCCACAGTCCTCTGGTCAAGTAGAACGTATGAACCAGGAGATAAAAATGCAACTGGGAAAACTCTGTAGACTCTCGGGGCTGAAATGGGTAAATGCACTCCCACTGGTCCTTCATAATATACGAAGTGCCCCGACAGGACCTTTGAAACTTTCCCCATTCGAACTTCTATTCGGGAGACCCCTCCCGTATACAACACCTTGTTTCCCCTCTCAGAACTGGACGTGGGGGAGGCGGAACTCACTAACTATATTATTCAGCTTCAGACACAGCTACTACGCCTCCACCAGTACGCGGCTATCGAAGGACAAAACCTGCCTATTGACGTCCATGCCCACTCTTTCCATCCCGGCGACTGGATCCTCGTTAAAGTCTATCAGAAGGCGCCGCTCCAACCTGCGTGGGAAGGTCCTTACCAAGTACTACTGACCTCCCCGACAGCCGTGAAAGTGGGAGAGAAAAACGCGTGGCTACATCACACGAGGTGCAAAACATCCCCACCACCCCAAGAGACGCTAGAAAACCCCGAGGAGGACTACGCCTACGAGACCCCACCCCACTCGCCGGCTACCTACATCGACGACGACGAGGAACAGACCGGACCGGATCGGGGCCAAGATCGGGCTCAACAGACCGGACCGGATCGGGGCCAAGATCGGGCTCAACAGACCGGACCGGATCGGGGCCAAGATCGGGCTCAACAGACCGGACCAGATCGGGGCCAAGATCGGGCTCAACAGACCGGACCTGACCGAGGCCAAGTTCGGGCCCAACAGACCGGACCTGATCAGAGCCAAGTTCCGACCCAACACGCCAGACCGGGCGTTACAGCACCTAACTGGACGTCCGAGATCGTCCCAGACTCCAACGCCATCAAACTTCGCCTTAAGTGCGTTTGACAGCTCGTTTGACAGCTCGTTTGACAGCTCCATAGACTGCTATTGCTTGCTTTTGACAGCCCGTTTGACAGCTCGTTTGACAGCTCCATAGACTGCTATTGCTTGCGTTTGACAGCTCGTTTGACAGCTCCATAGACTGCTATTGCTTGCTTTTGACAGCTCGTTTGACAGCTCCATAGACTGCTATTACTTGCCTTTGACAGCTCATTTGACAGCTCCATAGACTGCTATTACTTGCCTTTGACAGCTCGTTTGACAGCTCGTTTGACAGCTCCATAGACTGCTATTACTTGCCTTTGACAGCTCGTTTGACAGCTCGTTTGACAGCTCCATAGACTGCTATTGCTTGCTTTTGACAGCCCGTTTGACAGCTCGTTTGACAGCTCCATAGACTACTATTGCTTGCTTTTGACAGCTCGTTTGACAGCTCCATAGACTGCTATTGCTTGCTTTTGACAGCCCGTTTGACAGCTCGTTTGACAGCTCCATAGACTGCTATTGCTTGCTTTTGACAGCTCGTTTGACAGCTCCATAGACTGCTATTACTTGCTTTTGTCAGCCCGTTTGACAGCTCGTTTGACGGCTCCACAGACTACTATCGCCTGCGTCTGACAACTCGACCCGCAGCTTCAACTACCCCCACCCCCCCCAGGAGCCATGAACCCCACCACTGCTCTCATCCTCCTCGTCACCCTGACTGCGACAACACCTTCCTCGTTGAGCCACTGCACTGGACTACAAACAGACTACCATTTCCTCGACTATCACAAGGTCGAAACGGGAGGGAAGTCCAACCCGGACCGAATGGGGGACTTTGAGTTCTGCCTTCCAGAATCTCGAACTCTACTGCGTCATTCCCTGGTACCCCGGCTCACCGACAGCGCATACTGGGAACTCTTCATCCGAGATAAAGACTTACGTCGCATCGGGTCAGCTGCCCTCACACTTGATCACTCCTTTTACCGGCTGAAATGTTATAATGGAACTTACCTACTCTATAACAACGGAGAAGTCACACGCAGCCCTAACTGGACCGAGGCCGAACTGGGAACGGCCTCCCACGTATACACAGACCCCAATCACCCCTCCGAGAACTTGATCTTTGGGTTCCAGTGCCTCCTCACGACCCCAAAACCCCACAAGCCCCAACTCCAAGGACTTTGCCTCAGACGATTCTGCTGCCTTTGGAACTTGGGAGTCACCCGTGATTGGAAGGGAGCCGACTACCTAGAAGGGTGGCACCATCCCATACACCCCTCACGCTCTCCTTCATGGGACAACGTTGGGCCTCTGAGGTGCGGCGGCATTGCCCGGGATAGGCGGCTCCTAAATACCTCTGACCCACTCCACCCATTTGGCACTGCACCTCGACGACTAGGCCCTGCACCTGCCCTCCCAGGAGAAGACCTTCTTTCCTCCTGGGAACAGAACTCCTACATCAAACTTCTCAGCCAGGTCGCTAAAGAAGCACCATACCCCGATTGCTGGATTTGCGCTCATGCTCCCAGCCACCTTCAACAGAGTCTACCCCTGGTCCCGGTGCCAGTGACCTTAGAACAATTTCGCTCCGGAGATGTCGTCTCCTGGAACCTAACTGCATTAAATCTAACACACCAATATCTGTACCTCACCGGCCCCACGAAAGGACCCCTTTGCCGCAGTTTCACTGGAGAGGAACCTTCATCGGATCCAGTACCTGCAATACTGACTTAGAAATCCTAGCCGATGGCCAAGTCACCATCACTGACCCACGTGGTTCCCAGACCTTCCCCAATCTCACCATTGCATGGGCTACTGCTGTCAGCCAACCCCCCACCTGGCAACCACAACTCACAGACTTTATGCTGTTACAGACTTTTGCTTCAGGAAGGATGGAATCTTACCTCAGTGGCTTATTCTGGATTTGCGGACACCGCGCATATACTTGGGTGAGCCCACACATGTCGGGCTCCTGTTTTGTGGGGTACATCGTCCCCGGAATTAGAGTTGTCCCACACCTGCCCCCCCGGAAGACAGAGGAATAAACGGGACCAAAAACAGCTGTCAGACCTCTCAGACGTTGCTGCAAATGGAGAAACCGTAGGCCGTGCCCTCTTTCCCGCCTATGGAGCCGGATCTAACCATGTAGACATTCTTCGCCTTACAGACATTCTCCTCAAATTTATGCAAGAAGCCACTCAGATTACCGACTCCTTGGTGTCCGAACTATCCGAGGTAAGACAACTCAGTCTACAGACCAGGATTGCAACCGACTTCCTGCTGTCTAGTCAAGGAGGGACATGCGCCCTAATAGGAGCTGAGTGTTGTACATATGTAACCGATCAATCCCTCAATATAACTGGACATTTAAATAATATCCATGAACTAGCAGGAAAGCTACAAGATATACAACATGAAGGGCTGTCCGATGTAGACTTGTGGGGATGGTTACCCAAGTTAGGATGGCTCCGACAGTTACTGAAAGTCGTAATTTCTACTGTTTTAATTGTTATCCTTTGTGTCCTGACCCTCTGTTGTGCCATACATTGTATTCCTCCCTGCTGTTCCCTTCTTCGCTGCCCGACTCAAGCTACCTCTCTCTCACTCCGAGCGTATTCCCGCTCACAGCGTACCCCTACTTTCCCAGAATATGTACAGATGAGGCATTTAGGGGAAGGGGAATACGAGATCACTCAGATCTAGGTGCGGAGAAAGGATTTGCAAGTTCTTGCAGAACTTTGACGCAAATCTATCTCCGAATGGGGGACTGATACGGTAAACGGGGGGGGGTCCACCCTCCCACGTCCGAAACGATGACCCCAAGAGCGCCCACTACACTATGCACCCCTTCCCCAGCCTCTTCACTGTCGCACAAGCACCACACACAACCCTTTTCCCCTTTTCCACGGGCGAAATAAGCCCCAAACTCCCAAGCCCCTATCCCTTCTCTCGCTCCATCTTTATTATGAGTCGACCGTGTCAAAATACATCCCCGTTTGTTCCAATGGCCGCGTCTTGACCAATCAGGTACGTGCATCTGCTCTGCAGAACCAGCTCAGCGAGCCTCTGCACGCCTCATTTAACCTCTTGACAAGCTGCTGACAGCTCCCCGCTGAGAGAACAATGGAATCGAAACTCGTAACCTCGTAAAACTGTCAAACCTTGTTACAATGTATCCAGTTTAGCTCGTAAAACTGTCAAATGTATCTAGTTTGTTTCCGTTTTCTATTATTATTGTAAGAATGGACGAAATAGACTGAAAACTTCTTAAATTCATATAAAATCAACCCCTTCTCCGATTTCCTTGGTTCTGGTGTCAATCGACTCAGCCTTTCCAGGACTCCATAATCCCTCGAGCGAGGAGTCACGTACTCAGGAAGACCTTAATCTGGTCAGATCACCTCGCCCAGCCCTACCTCCGGGCAATACCAGGTGGCAGACTTTACATATTCGGACCATTGTCTTCTCATCACCGGTACTCAGGAAGTGCTTATCTATGCATATCTTCAGCTCTGCATATTCCCTCCTCCCTGTCCTCTATGCTAATCCGTGTAACCCAACCTCTCTGTGATATCACCCATGTAACCCAACCTCTTTGTAATGTATTCATGACGCGTTTCGCACTGTATTATGGGACATGGAGGGAAGTTTCAAAAACTCCTGTCACCCCTTACTCGGGGTTCAATTTCATCTTGAACCTGTTGCGCAATAAACTTGGATTTCCTGGAACTTGCTCCCGTCTCCGGCTGAGCTCAATTTTCTCCCGCAGGGACCCGCGGACTCAGTCCGACGAGCTGGGTGGCAGAGTAACCCCGCACCCAGATTTTACCGTAACAGTCTAGTCTCATTTTCATCACCTAGGCCGACTTTCCGGGCTGTTGGGGAAGCCTGCCAAGGCCGCTGCCTGTCCTGCGCTCCCCCTTCGGGCCCCAATCCCCCTCCGAAAAGCCTCTGCTGCCCCCCAAAGTGGAGCGTGTGGGACATTGGAAGCGCTGCCGCCCCATTTTGCCTGCGTGTGGCGCTGGGAGGAGCAGCTCAGCACTGCCCTGGGCGCTCGGCAGGCCGGCCTCCCCTTTGCCCCCAGCCTCCCCTGCGTGAAACTAGGACCCCCCAAAAAAGATGAGCAAAATCAGCAAAGCAATTCTGTGGCTAATTGACCAATTCCTTTAAACAGGGTCTATTAATGAAGTTCACACTTTTGACAACCAGTCTGGTGCTTTTGCAGAAAAATATTCCCAGACACAAGACTTTTATTTTTTATTTTTTAAGCCCTTTCGCTCTCCCACCCCTCTCCCCAAGGCTGGATTGTTTACTTCTGAGTGCTTGTGTATCTGGGTCTCCCTTGTATCTGTTCGGGACTATTCTCTCACCTTCCCTTTGATATCTACGCTGCTGATTACTTCTGCTGTTTTAATTTTAGGCAAAGTGTTTAATTTAAAAAGGATCTGTACTATAGAATAACAGTGGTAACAATACATTGAAGACAAGTAAATATTTGGGGGAGGGTGGTCCCAGAGCCCTAGCGCCACCATCCCAAAGAGGATAAAATGGGCGGACTTTGGTACTCTTGTGTCCTGTCCTCCCGCAATGTCCCTGCCTGTTATGTTACATGCGGGGAAACCGTGTGGGGTTCCTCTCTGTGTAAAGTCTTCAAGCTGTTCCTGCACACACCTGACAAATCTGCCCCATTGCCAAAATTTACCTTTTCCCCCACCTCCAGTCTCCATTGTTGGGTGTCCTGGCTGAGGGGGGAAACAGAAGACGGATGGCCATTGGTCAGGGATGGTCTAGTTGAGATTCCTGCATTGCCCCAGGGGGTGGGCTAGATGACCCTCAAGGGTCCCTTCCAACTTTACAATTCTCTGGTGCAGGCTTGGGCAGAGTTTTAGGTACAAGTCGGATGCAAGGGGTGCATAGGATTGCAGCCCATCTTACGCACCGTTGGCTCGGGAATAAGTCCCACTGATCATGATGAGACTAGATTGCTGCTGTGCAGTCCTGTTTTTTAAATAAATCTTTTCCTTTTCAGATGATACAGAGCATGGTGAAATCACCGTAAATAAAACCTCCCCTTCAGTAGTTTCAAGCACTGCTACAGGTCCCACATAATATCTGTACTGCATTGTTTAGTGTGGCAGCACCTGCACTTTGGAACTCCCCGCCTATGGCAACAAAGAACGTGCCTTTGCTAGACTCTTTTCGGGCAACTGCTAAAAGCATTCTTCTTTAGGCAAGCATACCTAGGTGCTTAGGAAGTTGAAGTAATTTTAATCTTAATATTTTAGCTTTTGTATGTTTTAAAGTAGGATTGTTAATTCTTCTTGAATTTACTGCTCTGGTGTTTTTGTTGTTTTTTAAATCACTTTGCAGGTTTTTAAAAATAAATTTTATTAAATAAATAAAGAATAAATATAAATAAAATGTGTGGGAGGAGCTTCACTGATAACCGAAGCCTTAGAATCCATCATCAAACTCACACAGGGGAAAAACCATATAAATGTATGGATTGTGGAAAGAGATTCAGTCACAGTGAAACACTAAGAAAACAACAACGGACTCACACAGGGGAGAAACCTTTTAAGTGCATGGAATGTGGAAAGATGGTACAGCACTTAGTATCCATCATCAAACTCACACAGGGGAAAAACCATTTGAATGTATGGAGTGTGGAAAGAGCTTCACTTCTAATGGAGCAGTAAGAAGACATCAAAGGATTCACACAGGGGAGAAACCATTTAATTGCATGGAGTGCGGTAAGAACTTCACTTATCATCAAACACTTAGAATCCACCATCGAATTCACACAGGGGAAAAACCATATAAATGTGTGGAGTGTGGAAAGAGCTTCAGTTGGAGTGGTGCAGTAAGAAGACATCAGTGGACTCACTCAGGGGAAAAACCATTAAAATGCATGGAATGTGGAAAGAGTTTTATTGAGAGTAGAGAGCTGAGAACCCATCATCGAACTCACACTGGGGAGAAACCATTTAAATGCACCGAGTGCGGAAAGAGCTTCAATCGCAGTGGAAAACTTAGAAAACATCAATGGACTCACACAGGGGAGAAACCATTTAAATGTAAGGTGTGGAAAGGGCTTCACCAATGTTGGAAATGTTAGAAGACATCAACGGACTCACACGGGAGAAACCATTTAAATGTATGGAGAGTTGAAAGAGTTTCTTTCAGAGTGGAACCCTAATTTCACACACAGGAAACTTAGACGACATCAACAGACTCACTCGGGGACAAGCAAATGAATGTATGGAGTGTGGAAAGAGCTTCAATAGAAGTGGAAACCTTGGCAAACACCAGCAAACTTAAAGAGGGAAAACCACTTACGTATATGGAGTGTACGTAGAGTTTCAGTCCTGATGTTCCTACAAAACATCAATGAACTCACAAGGAGGAAAAGCTTTAAGAGTTGAAACCCTACAATCCACAAACAGAAAATCATAAATGGATTGAATGGAAGGAGTGTGGGAAGTGTTTCAATTGCTTTATATATAGATAATTTTATTAATACAGTGGTACCTCGGGTTACATATGCTTCAGGTTACATACACTTCAGGTTAAAGACTCCGCTAACCCAGAAATAGTGCTTCAGGTTAAGAACTTTGCTTCAGGATGAGAACAGAAACCGTGCTCCGGCGGCGGAGCAGCAGCAGGAGGCCCCATTAGCTAAAGTGGTACTTCAGGTTAAGAACAGTTTCAGATTAAGAACGGACCTCCGAAACAAATTAAGTACTTATCCTGAGGTACCACTGTATATATAAATTTTATTTATAAATTGCGTTCAAAAATAGAAGCATTCACTTCCGGGTTGTTGGCGTTTGAAATCCCCAAACATTCGACTTCTGAAGCGTTCAACAACCGAGATTCCACTGGGTATCCAGCAATAGTGTGTTGTCCAACGATATCCATTTTTTTAACCGACACAGAGGCTGCCTCATAGTTGAAAATCTAGCAGTGCGAAGCCACCTCTATTTTTAGTATCTATCAAAATTTTATACTGTATTCTTGGTGTTTCCCCTCTGCCAGAGTAATCATGAAATATCTCTTTGCCATTTGTTAAAGAAGCTTGTATTATTTATTATTGGTAATTTAGAATAAAAACAGTATCTTAGGCAAAACATTTCTCTTTATGGTTGAAATCCTTCGTAAAAGTGAAAGTTTCATCCTCCCCCATATTTCCAAATGCTTTTTAACATCTTTTGATACTTTAACGTAATTGGAATATGTTGTAATTCAGTGTTTTTCAAATAAACCCTTATTTAGTCTGCATCTATACAATGAACTCTTTTCACCCCTCTTTATCATCCATTTTGAGTTTTGATCTGATATAGTTCTTGGCTGGATCTCTACAGTCTTTAATCCTGTAGGCAGTTCCTTCAATATCCAGATCATGTTTCTTCTTCCCGCAGAATCCTTTGAATCAGAAGAACATGTTTACTCTTGTTCTAATGGGGGTCTGAATCTCCAAGCATCTGGGGTGGCAAACTAAGGCCTGTGGGCCGGATCAGGCGCAATTGCCTTCTAGATCCGGCCTGCGGACGGTCCAGGAATCACCGCATGGATTGCCAGCACAACCGTTCTTTCCCTCTCCCTCACACGGCTGCTCTTTTCTCCTCAGGGACGAGCAATCTTGTCCCACAATGGGTGCCATCAACGGGGGGAGTCGGCTCACCCGCCTGCCTGCCTCAGAAGGGTGGCGCTGGGAAGGGGGGAGTGACGCTGGCTGCCGGCTGCTGCTGCATTTTCCTCTTGCTCCTCCTCCCTCTCCCTAAGTCTGCCCTTCCCTCCTTTTCTGTGCCCCTTCTCCGTGCTGCTTCCTCACGCACTTTCTTCGTCACCCCTCCCTCCTTCATTCCTCCCATGGCGTTCAGGTGGTTTGTTGCAGCAGCCGCAGCTGCCGTTGGTGGGTTGGCGGGCGGCTCTGTCTTCTCCGCTGTGCTTCTCGGGAAGCAGCAGCAGCAGGTGGTGAGTAAAAGCTCTGGCAACGCCCTGGTTCCCCTACCGGTTCTCCACCAGGGCTGTGTGGTATAGTGGTTAAGAGCAGTAGTCTCGTAATCTGGGGAACCGGGTTTGCGTCTCCGCTCCTCCACCTGCAGCTGCTGGGTGACCTTGGGCCAGTCACACTTCTCTGAAGTCTCTCAGCCCCACTCACCTCACAGAGTGTTTGTTGTGGGGGAGGAAGGGAAGGGAGAATGTCAGCCGCTTTGAGACTCCTTCAGGTTGTGATAAAGCGGGATATCAAATCCAAACTCTTCTGCTGCTACTGCTTCTGTCTTCACCGGCCAACACAGCCTCCTGCCCTGGCAACTGGCTGGAGAAGCCCAACTGGGGCTATTGGGACGACAACTGGGACAGGTAAAGCCAAACATCTTCAGGCCTCTTTGCGGGCAGGCGAAAATCGCTCATTTCCCCCCGAAATATAGTCCGGCCCCCAACAAGGTCTGAGGGACAGTGGACTGGCCCCCTGCTGAAAAAGTTTGCTGACCCCTGATCTAGTAGATCCATTGTTGTAACCATATCAAAAAAGTATTTGGTATTTTGCCTTCTTCCGAGATACTTTCCCTCAGTGTTCTGTGATCCTACTCCATTAAATTCGCCCGTAATAATTATATTTCTGTCATAAACGTCAGACATACTTTCCTCCAGTAGTTGGAAGAAATCTCATGCGAAAAGTGGCTCTGAATCTGAAAGTCCCAGTCCCAAATCTTAATCCTGCCACCCTAAGATATTATAAGCAAGCCCCACATTCCTCTTTCCGCCTGCAATAGGGAGGTTAGAACAACACTTAATACCCGGCAGGGATCAAAAGAGCCAGAATTGCTTAAAATTGCAGGGAGAGAGAGAAAAACTGGATTTGAAATAACCCAACCACAAGATGAAAAGTCTCCCTAGTAAATGAGGGAAGGGGGAGGCATGGGGGGGGCTTTTGAAGTCTCCCTGCTGGCAAGGGATTTCCAGAGCAAGGGCGCCTCTGTCTGTCTGGATCCCTCACTGCCTCTGAATCCAGTGGGTGGTTTTTAATGGGGGGAGGAGGGCTGGTGTTTGAAGCTGGGCTTGGCTGTTCGGGGGCGTAGCTCAGCAAGGCAGCAGGTGCTCTGCACGCAGAAGGACCCCGGTTGAGTGCTTGGCATGCAGAAGGAGGCCCAGAAGGAGATCCTCCCCCTGCCTCAAAAAGGAGGGTGGAGGAAACTTGCCCAGCTTCCCCCCCCCCCGCTCCCTGCCGCCAGTTGGGGGGCGGGGGCCGGGTCCCCATGGAGCCCCCAGAGCAGGAGGCCAGAGGCAGCGCCCCCCCGGCACCATCCCCACCCGCCACAGGGCGGGGCTGCTCTGCGGACGTAGCTCTAGGGACGCGCGCGTCGGAAAAGGAGCCGGAAGTGTCGCCGCGAAACGCGCCGGAAGTTGCCAGACAGAGGAAGGAGGAGGGGCGTCGCTGAAGAGCCCCCCGCCCGCCGCCGCCCTTTCTATTGCAGACAAGCAAAGCGGAGTAATCTGGAGCCAGGGAGGCGGAGGACCAAGAGGTAAAGAGGGAGAGAAGGGGGGGAAATAGAGGGGGGGATAAGAAGGGGGGAGGACAAAGAGACCCCCCCCAAGGAAAGCGCCCTCCCTGGGGCCCGTCGACAGGGGCCCCGATCCAGGCGACCCAGGTGGGAAGGGGGGACCCAACACCTGCAGGGCTGGCCTTGCAAGATCTCCTGGGCAGCAGCAGCACCGCCAGACTCCCTTTCTCTTTCCTGGGGGGCCGAGAGATGCTCAGCTGCCCTGCCCCCCCTGGAGGCCTTGGCGGGAAGGGGAAGGAGGACCCCAAGCAGGGCTGGGGGTGGGGCTGAGGCCCCCCATTCTCCCTGGGGTCGTGGGGCGCCTGGCTGGGGAAAGGGAGAGAGGGTGTCCAGGGAAGGGTTAAAGGAAGGGGGAGGAGCCTCGACAGAGACCCCTCCCCCTCCAGCACCCCTGACCCCCTCCTCCCCCCCCTTCCCTGATGACAATACCAGGTTATCTTATTCACTAGGACTCATCTCCATACTTGGATTGTCCTGAATACCACCAATTATAGCCTAGCCCAAACCCAAACGTCCTGCTAGGATGCATCTTGGCTTCCCTGCAGATGAAACTGAGTGTGTGAGGATTGATAATATTTTCATTTATCCGTTTTAGACCCCTAAGTAGTAGCAGTTGCCAGGACATTGTCCTGTTCGCCTCTGTATAGTTCCAGCCTTATTTCAGACATTGTGGTAGATTGCAATCAGGGTGGGTTTGATATAAAGCAAATTGATTTCAATCACAATTTACGGTAAATCACTAGTCAGTATGATTCTATTTAAATCAAAAATTTCTGATTTGGTTACACTATTAGAAATACATAGATAATTATGAAATCATTCTGAGGTTTAATAAGTTTACTGTCCATATCTGGACAACAGTTCTGCTGTAATTTATTGGAAGGAGAAAAATAATCATTTCCTTAGTAACAACTTAAACAATTTATTTAACTAAAACAATAATATTATAGCATGTTGGTAAAAATATTTTTTTAATAAAAAACAACAACCAAGCAGGCTGAGTTTTAGCGCACATGAAAAACTCAGAACTTAAGCATTTCACCACCTCCACTACCAGCCACCCCTTTGGATTGGCTTCTGCATTCAGGTGCCTATTCTGTACAGTTAAGTGTTAGTGCGATTGTTGGAACCCAGTGGGATTGGGAAGAGGTTGCCAGCCCTGAAGAGCCCTCAGCGCTTGCCTCAAGTCTGACTTGCACAATTATTACACAAAGACCCCAAGATGTGTGGAGTATTTTGCTCACAAGGTTGCACGTTCATTTTTACTGCTTCACACTTAGCTACTTGTGCAGATCTCGTCCACTGCAAACCATCTACCGTATTTTTCGCACCATAGGACACACCAGACAATAGGACGCACTTTGTTTTAGAGGGGGGAGAACAAGTAAAAAAAATTTCCCCCTCTCTGCCCAGCGCCCCTTCAGTGAAGCAGCAGGAGGCGCTGCACAGAGAGGGGGAGAACTTTCCCCTTCTTGTTTTCCCGCTCTAAAACAAGGTGCCATTTAAGGTGCGTTCAGGCGGCTACCTTGGAAGCCTAGAGAGCGAGAGGGGTCAGTGCACACCGACCCCTCTCACTCTCCAGGCTTCAGGTTCCTTTCGACCTGCTTTTTCGGGCTGGCGGGGGGAAGTCCACCACCAGCCCCAAAGAGCAGGTCAGGGAGCAGCGGAAAGGCGCAGTGGAGAGGCTCCTGCCATAGCCGCACGTCACCTCTCCAGCCGGGAGAGGGTCGCAGGGCTATGGCTTCTTTAGCCCCGCGCGCGCTCTCCCGGCTGCAGAGGTGACGTGGGGCTGTAGAGGTTCCTGCCATAGCCGCGCGTCACCTCTCCAGCCGGGAGAGGGTCGCAGGGTGCTTCTTTAGCCGCGCGCGCGCTCTCCCGGCTGGGGAGGTGACGCGCGGCTATAGAGGCTCCTGCCATAGCCGCGCGTCACCTCTCCAGCTGGGAGAGGGTCGCGGGGCTATGGCATCTTCGCTCCATAGGACGCACACACATTTCCCCTTCATTTTTGAAGGGGAAAAAGTGCGTCCTATAGAGCGAAAAATACGGTATTCATTGAACCTCTTAGAACTTAGAATTTAAGGGGTTAATTCTGTGTATATACCGTATTTTTCGCACCATAGGGCGCACCGGACCATAGGGCGCACCCAGTTTTTAGGGGGGGAAATCAAGAAAAAAATATTTTCCCCCCAGCCCCAAAGAGCAGCGTACACGCTGCGCACAACCTCTCCCTGCCGGAGGGGTTGCCGCTCGCTGTTTTGGCTTCCCCTTTAGCCTCGTGCAGCCTCTCCTTGCCAGGAGACACTGCGCAGGGCTAAAGAATCCATAGCCCCGTGCAGCCTCTCCTTGCCGGAGGGGTTGCGCACAGCTATGGAGCAAGACAAGGCAGGGGGCGGGATGGATCCCGCTCGCTGTTTTGGCTTCCCCTTTAGCCCCGTGCAGCCTCTCCTTGCCGGAGGGGTTGCGCGCAGCTATGGAGCAAGCCAAGGCAGGGGGCGGGATGGATCCCGCTCACTGTTTTGGCTTCCCCTTTAGCCTCGTGCATCCTCTCCCTCCTGGGAGAAGCTGCGCAGGGCTTTCCTGGCTTTTCTGGGAGGTGGGGGGATTCCCTCACCTTTTGCAAAACCGGCAGAAGCCGCGCACACTTTATAAGGGCTGCACGGCTTCTTCTGGCTTTCCTGGGAGGTGGGGGGATTCCCTCACCTCTCGCAAAAGCCCGCAGAAGCCGCACAACCCCTTTAAAGACATCGCGGCTTCTCCTGGCTTTTCTGGGAGGTGGGAGAAGCAACTGATGCGGCCAGTCAGTCCCTTCTCCCTCCTGGGGAAAAGCCCGCAAGAGTGCAAGGAGCTTGTGTGCGGCTCTTGGGGGCTTTTCCCGACTGCCTCCCCCCTGCATTCGCTCCATAGGACGCACACACATTTCCCCTTGCTTTTTAGGAGAGAAAAAGTGCGTCCTATGGTGCGAAAAATACGGTAAATCTGCAAAGGAACAATGGGATCAAGGTTTTCCGTCAACTCTGTATGTTTATTTTATAACATTTTTCCTGTGAAGAAAAGGCATGTTATCTCTGCAGATACACAAATTCACACTTTTGAGAATGGCAAAAACAAGCATCTGTGACAATATCTTCTCATTAGAAAAACTTCCCCAAATAATCTTACAGAAACCTCTGGAAGAGCATGACATTGTGAATGGGTTAATGGAATTCATTTACCCAAAAAATTAAATATTGCATATAAAGCCTCATGCTAGATAATTAAAAGCAAATCCTTATTTCCTGATGAATAGCCTTTGGACTATAATGTAATTAAATATAAAACTATCTTTAGATAGATTTTTTCCTCTAAAAGCATTTTATTTTTTTAATAATTCTGATTAAAATAATAAAAAAATTCTGATTTAAATAAAAAAATCCAATTTTAATTTTTTTAAACAAATCATTGATTGTATCCACCCTGATTGTAATCTTTAGCTGCTGATAACATGGCAACGTTTAGCAGGTCATATTGTGAGGTTTAGCTGGTGAGAACATTGCAATTGTTAGCTGACGAGTTATCATGATATTGAAAATCAGATATTTCCTAGTCCTTATACACATTGGATTTGCGATATAACGTCAGCTCAAATATTAGGAAACAGTTAGCACATTAACATCAAGCCCAGCTCTAATTATGACCTAAATTTCTGGCCCAGTGTATCATTGAAGATTTTACCAATTTTATTTTGTTTCCCATTCTAATTGTATCTCATACATTTTGGAAAGTTTTTTTTAAAAATTGTTCAGCAGTACCTAAGAGACCAACTAAGTTTGTTCTGGGGATAAGCTTTCGTGTGCATGCACACTTCTTCAGATTGGACAATTTTCTACCTGAAATTTGGGAAACACTTTCTCTTTTCTCTCAATAATATCTCTTTCAAACTGTGAACTTTCAGTCCAAAAACCTCTCCCTTCATCTTGTCCAAACAAGATGATTTGATGGTATTGAAACCAATCCGCCACCACACCTCCCACCTCATCCTGTTTATTCAGTTTTATTTCTTCTTCCGAAAAGTCCAAAAGATCTCTGTAAGTTGCCCATTGCTTCTTCCCTATTGCATTTTTTAAAAAGCTGTTGCTTTTGTGGGTGGAAGCCAAAGAGGTGTTTTTCTTTCCAGCAGATTATTATATTTATCCCATACTGTAAAAAGGATTTTCTGAATAACCTGATTCATAGAGCTCTTGTGTGTTTTAGTTTTATCCTGCCATAAATAAGCGTGCCAACCAAACATAGTCTTACGACCTTTGTTATAAGGAAAACCTACTCCTTTCCCCTTATGGGGTATCCAAGAGCCCATATAGTCCTCAAGTGGGTTCCATATTGGTAGGAGAAAATAACAGAGGCCAACCAGAGTATATGGGAAGCAAAGCGGCTAGTAAGCCTGATCTTTATTGCAACAGTGCCCCCCCCTCACCACAACCAGCAGGGAGGTGTGCAAGGCCTTATATAGTCTTTTGAAATTGCCCACCCAAGACCACCACCCCAAATATCATACAGAAGGAGACTGTCTACAGCAGGAATAGATCGCAGGAGGTGGTCTACAGCAGAAAACCTGTCCTCAAGGATACCTGTTAATGGTCACTAACTGCATTACCTGGGCAGCCTGGCCATTCTTTTGTGTTGGTAAATACTTTAGTTCCTGAATCCAGGTCACAGGCTCACCCTGTTCATCCCTCCTTAAGACAGTATTTGTAAGCACAAAGACAATGGGAAGGCTTCCATTTGCCTCCTTTACTGCAGAGGAATATTTGAGTACGTTTCCGGGCACAATTCAAAGTGTTGGTGCTGACCTTTCAAGCCCTAAACGGCCTCAGTCCTGTATACCTGAAGGAGCGTCTCCACCTCCATCGTTCAACCTGGACACTGAGATCCAGCGCCGAGGGCCTTCTGGCGGTTCCCTCATTGCGAGAAGTGAGGTTACAGGGAACCAGACAGAGGGCCTTCTGGGTAGTGGCGCTTGCCCTGTGGAATGCCCTCCCATCAGATGTCAAGGAAATAAGCAGCTATCCTATTTTTAAAAGACATCTGAAGGCAGCCCTGTTTAGGGAAGTTGTTAATATTTCATGCTTTACTGTTTTTAACACTTGATTGGGAGCCACCCAGAGTGGTTGGGGAAACTCAGCCAGATGCGCTGGGAATAAATAATAAATATTATTATTATTATTATTATTATTATTATTATTACTACTATTATTATTATAGGTCTGTGGTGCTCAATGTTTAGGCATAGTAAATATTAGGATTTAATTAGAACTTGTGTGTTATAATGGAGATATGTTATAAGGTAGTCTCGGTGTATTTTAGAAAGGGAGTTATGTAAAGGGTTTTTCATGTTTGATCCGTGTTTCTGTGTAAATACTGTGCGTCAGACTGAGAATGTCATCAGGAAGGTCTAGGAAAGGGTGCACCTGCTTCTGAGCATCAGAAATGAGCATGGAAAGAGTTAATATCATTAACCTACCGGAATCGGCCCCCTCCCTTTGTAACAAGCAGCTGTAGGTCTTTTGGGATTTAATATCAGCTCATGAAAAGTGGGGCACATGACCCGGAAAGCTGCCTGGCTCCCTCCGTCTGAAGGCGGAGATATGCACCACACGCCATAGCCGAATTCGGCTGCACTTGCCATGGGAAAGCAGAAGGGGCAAGCAAGGAAGGGGGAGACGGCCAAAGAAACCTGCTCTCACACAGGTGCCCCCCCCTGCCAATTCCGTAACCTTAGCAAAGCCCAAGTTCAAACACCACCCCTATTTAAAAGAGGCCCCCGTAAGGACGACACTGGACTGCCCTTTACGGTTGCCGTAAGTTACTCTTCCAAGTCCCAAAAGCGCGAAGCAACTCCGGTCTATTTTGCAGGGCTGTTGTAATGGGGACCCCCTGTGCCACCGCCCAGGGCAGCCCAAAGTGACGTATAACCAGTTGTTGTTGTTGTTGTTGTTGTTGTGTTCCACGGTGAGACTCCAAGGTCTTCTGTGTCATCTTTCCTGTGCAGTGGACGCTCAGGTTGCGAACGTGATCCGTGCGGGAGGCACATTCACAACCCGCAGCGCCGCGTCTGTGCATGTGCGGGTTGCAATTCGGTGCTTCTGCACATGCGCAAAGCGTGATTTAGTGGTTCTGCACATGCGCAAGGGCTGAAACCCGGAAGTAACCTGTTCTGGTACTTCCGGATTCCGTGCGGTGCCCAACCCGAAAACACAACTCGAGCGTCTGTAACCCGAGGTATGACTGTCTTTTGGAAGGCAGCGGGAAGGCTGTTCTCAGGGCCTGCTCCACCGTGAGGGAAACTGAGGCAGCCCCCTCAGGCAGGAGATGCAGGGAGGGGCAAGGAGGGGACGGAGCTGAGTCCCATTTGGCCAGCCCTGATTTAACCCTCTATCCCAGGCATAGGCACCCTAAGGCCCATGGGCCGGAAGTTTGGAAAAACTTTAAAAAGTGTAAGAACTCACATTAGGTAGTCAAAAAATAGTAATTTAAACAAAATGCTTATAAAAATAAGATAATTACTTAACATTTAGCTTCTGTTACACATTATATCCACATAAGTCAATAGAAAAAGTACAAAGAGATGATGTTCAAGATGTGCCCTTTGGGAAATTTGGTTTTGGCAACCGCAAAACAGCATCCTTCAAATCAACTCTTGCAATAGGGAAGACAAACATACAAAATCCTGGTTTTTTCCTGAGGTATGACACTTGTTTAGAGATTATTGTACACTAAGCGGGGCACTTTTATACATATCAGTGCGTCCCATGTCTTAGTGTATCAAAGTGCCCCAATGGACATTTTCAAAAAACTAACAATTGTTAATAAAACCACTGAACTTATTTGAAAATCACGTGTAATCCTGATTACTGAGTGGAATAACTTACCTTTGGTATTTTTAAATCTTAACTAAATGCCGTAAAAAAGTGTTGGAACACTTTTACATTTCACATAATTTTTATTTTATTTTTTTAAAAAAGATATTTATTAAGGTTTTCACAGTGTTACAAAATGAAAAAAGAAAAAATACAAAATAAAAATAGTTAAAAACAATTCAATCTTTCCATTACTTACCTTTCATTTGCTTGTTTCCCAGACCTCCTCATACCTCCCTTTTTTGTATTCCAGTTCAATTTATTAGTTCAGCAAATCCTTTCCCTCTTTGTTTTATCCTGATCTTTAATCTTAATATATTATAGCATTAAATTTTTACCTGTTAAAAATCCATTTTTTCATATTCCTTTATACCATTACAGCTAAAAACCACCTAACTTCAATCCAACATCATTCTAACATTCATTAATTTTGCAGTATTTCTGTAAATAGTCTTTAAATTTCTTCCAATCTTCTTCCACCGACTCTTCTCCCTGGTCAAGGATTCTGCCAGTCATTTCCGCCAGTACCATATAGTCCATCACCTTCATCTGCCATTCTTTCAGAGTGGGTAGGTCTTGTGTCTTCCAGTAGAAGAAGAAGAAGAGTTTGGATTTGATATCCCGCCTTTCACTCCCCTTCAGGAGTCTCAAAGCGGCTAACATTCTCCTTTCCCTTCCTCCCCCACAACAAACACTCTGTGAGGTGAGTGGGGCTGAGAGACTTCAAAGAAGTGTGACTGGCCCAAGGTCACTCAGCAGCTGCATGTGGAGGAGTGGAGACGCGAACCCGGTTCCCCAGATTACGAATCTACCGCTCTTAACCACTTCACCACACTGGCTCTCTCAGTACTTTGCAATAAGTATTCTTGCTGCTGTTGTGGCATACATAAAGAAAGTTCTATCCTTCTTTAACACCGATTGGCCGACTATGCTCAGGAGAAAGGCCTCTGGTTTCTTCAAGAAGGTATATTTAAATACCTTTTACAATTCATTATAGATCATCTCCCAGAAAGCCTTAATCCTTGGGCACGTCCACCAAAGGTGAAAGAATGTACCTTCAGTTTCTTTACATTTCCAACATTTATTATCGGGCAAATGATAAATTTTTGCAAGCTTGACTGGGGTCATGTACCACCTGTATATCATTTTCATAATATTCTCTCTTAAGGCATTGCATGCCGTAAACTTCATACCTGTGGTCCATAACTGTTCCCAGTCAGCCATCATTATGTTATGTCCAACATCTTGTGCCCTTTTAATCATAGCTGATTTCACCGTTTCATCCTGAGTATTCCATTTCAACAGCAAGTTATACATCTTTGACATATTCTTAGTTTTGGGTTCTAACAGTTCTGTTTCTAATTTTGATTTCTCCACCTGGAAGCCAATTTTCTTATCCAAATTATATGCCTCCATTATCTGATAATAATGAAGCCAATCTCACACTTTGTTTTTTAATTTCTCAAAACTCTGCAATTTTAGTCTATCTCCATCTTGTTCCAAGATTTCCAAATATTTCGGCCATTTATCCTCCATATTAAGCTTTTTCTGAGCTTTCGCTTCCATCGGTGACAGCTACCTTGGGGTTTTGTTTTCCATTAAGTCCTTATATCTTATCCAAACGTTAAACAATGCTTTCCTGAAAATATGGTTTTTAAATGCTTTATGTGCTTTGACCTTATCATACCACAGATATGCATGCCATCCAAATACATTGTTAAAACCTTCTAAATCAAGAAGGTCAAAGTTTTCAAGAAGCAGCCATTCTTTCAACCAGCAAAAAGCTGCTGATTCATAGTAAAGTTTAAGGTCTGGCAGGGCAAATCCACCTCTTTCCTTTGCATCTGTTAATATTTTAAATTTTATTCTAGGCGTCTTGCCCTGCCAGACAAATCTAGAAATATCTCTCTGCCACTTCTTGAAACAGTCCATTTTGTCCAGGATTTGCAATGTTTGAAACAAAAACAACATTCTAGGCAATACATTCATTTTTATCGCAGCAATACGACCCAGCAGTGAAAGCTTCAAATTTGACCAAATTTCTAAATCTTTTTTCACTTCAACCCAGCATTTTTCATAGTTGTCTTTAAATAAATTCCCATTTTTTGCTGTCATGTTAATCCCCAGGTATTTGACTTTCTTGACCACTGTTAAACCTGTCTCATTCTGAAACCTCTCTCTCTCCATTGGTGTTAAGTTTTTCTCTAAAACCTTGGTTTTTAACTTATTCAGTTTGAACCCTGCAACCTGACCAAATTCTTGAATCAGTTCTAAAACCCTTTTGGTACTAGATTCTGGCTCCTGTAACGTCAATACCAAGTCATCTGCAAATGCTCTCAATTTGTACTGTTTGGCTCCGACTTGTATACCTTTAACCAACTGGTCCCTTCTAATCATATTCAGCAAAACCTCCAGGACCGATATAAAAGTAATGGGGAGATTGGGCAACCTTGTCGTGTCCCTTTTTCTATCTTAAATTCTTCCGTCACCACATTATTTACAATTAATTTAGCCTTTTGTTCAGAATCTATTGCACTTATACCGTTTTCAAAGCCTTGGCCTACCCCCATACCCTGCAAGTTCTTCTTCATAAAACTCCAAGAAATGTTGTCAAAAGCTTTCTCCGCGTCCACAAATATTAAAACTGCCTTAGTATTTATATTCACTTGTAATTTTTCTAAAATGTTGATTATGTTTCTCACATTATCCGATAGATGTCTACCCGGGAGAAAGCCTGCTTGGTCTTTATGTATCTCTTCCACTAACACTCTTTTTAGTCTTTTAGCCAAGATACCTGCAAAAATTTTGTAATCCACATTGAGCAATGATATGGGGCGGTAGTTCTTAAGCTGGGTCTTTTCAGTCTCTGTTTTCGGTACAAGTGTAATATACGCTTCTTTCCACGACTCTGGTGCCCTTTTCCCATCCATTATTTCGTTACAGACTTCTTTTAAAGGTTGTACTTGTGGGAATGTTCTGGGGTGCAGGAGAGGATATATTGACTAATTATATCCTTATCCAACTTGTGCTAACAAGTTCCCAAAAATATCAGCAGAGTTTATAAACATTCCCCTTTAAGTTCGCAACAGTAACGTGTGCACAGGTTCGCTAGAACCTCTATAATAATTACACTGGTAATTTCCCCTTTGTTCCCTCTTAAAATACAAGACACAACACAGTCTTTATGAAAGTATAAAAGAGTTTACTCACGTTCTGTTCACAATATGATCCCAGAAGGCAGACCGGCTTAAAAAGGTTACATACATCCAGAATCTATCTTATAGCAAGATAGTCCTTTCCTCCTCTCTTGGCTGAGAGCCAAGAGAGCATCTTTAGATGCTTCCTCATCGAAGGAAAATGGCAGAGAGAGAGAGATGGCTGCCTGCCCTGTGCTTTGTCATTACCTGCACAGGTGAGGCCACACCCACCTCTGGTCACATGCGGAGGAAGTCCGTCCCCAGGAAGTTTACCTGCTTGCTGGACAGACATCCCTCCCCATGTTCTAACATGTACACTCTAGGAATGTTGTCATTGACTGCTCCTGTGTTTACATCCCACAGTACTAACCATTCTTTTAAAGATCTGTAGTATCTAGAAGTCAGTCCATCCGGTCCTGGAGATTTACCTAATTGCATATTCTGAATGGCACCTTCTATCTCCTGTTCAGTTATTTTATAGTTCAACATTAGTTTATTTTCTTGGGAGATTTTTGTAATCCATTTGTTTTCAAAAATCGGTCTAAGTCAATTTCTTTCTGTGGCCCTTGTGTATATAGTTGTTTGAAGTACCTCTGGAAACAATTTCTAATCTCAGCTGGGTTCTGTATATTCCTTCCTTCCACTTCTAGATTAGTAACTATTTAATTTTTGTCTTTTGTCTCATTTGTTTAATTTTCCATTCTAACTCCTGATTCATCATTTTCATGTATTGTACTTGATGTAACTTTATTTCTCTCAAAATCTCTTGCGACTTTGGTTTTGCTCTCAATTTCTTTTCACTTTCCTTTATTTTCTCCAAAATTTTATCCTTCTTCAAATTTTGGATTCTCTTCTTCAATGCATTCTGTTGTATCAAGAACCCTCTCATAACAGCTTTACTTGCGTCCCAGATTACTCTTTTTTCCACATTGGTGTTCATATTTATCTCGAAATAATCTCTCAAGGTTTTTTGGGCCTTCTTAAACACTTCATCATCTCTAAATAAGGTGTCATTCATCCTCCATCTGAAGGAACCAGTTGGTATTAGTTTCATCTCCATCTTTACAGCATTATGGTCGGAGCAGGTTTTTGGGCAGATTTCCACTTTTCTTATCTTTGGTGCCATTCCTCTAGTTACCCATATTTGGTCAATTCTTGTCCATGTCAGTTTGGCTTCAGAGAAGAAGGTTCCCTCTCTGGCTAAGGGATTCTTTGTTCTCCAGATATCAACTAAGTCCAAGTTGTCTGTCATCTCAAAAAAAGTTTTTGGTAGTCTACCATCCTTAGCGATTACCTGTCTTTGTGCCTTGTCCATGTGTGTAGATACCACTCCATTCATGTCTCCCATCAAAATCACATTATAATCCAAATAGTCCATCAAGGTCTCATGCAACTTTTAAAAAAAGTCAGATTTCCCCTCATTTGGTGCATAAACTCCTACTTGTTGGCTTTTTGCAGTATGGTAGCGCTGCAGAGAGCTTGCTGGGGAGACCATGCATTAAAAAGGGACTCAAAAATAATTTAAACAAGGTTTTAATAAGAAAAACAAAAACTCCTTTTACACTAAATACATTAACATCACGAGTGGCCTGAACGCATGCACATAATTCACTCTCTGTTGTGGAGAGACAAATAATGTTTTGTGTCTGGGACTTCCATTCAAATGGACAACCGTTATAACAAAACACCATACCAGACACACCCCTGCAATTATTTTGTTCCACTGCATGAGATGCATCACAGAAAATTTCAAAACCTTTGTCAATACATGTTGTAAACTGCAACCCTTTCCTTTATAAACACACAATTGTCTGCCTTTCCCTGTGAAAAACCAATATCCAGCAATTCTTTTGCTAAAGTTTGGTGCCAATTCCTTCCACTTTGGTGCAGACCATAAAGGGATTTATTTAACTTGCATACCAAACCTTCAGCGGCGTCTATGCCTTCAGGGACACGCATAAAAATTTGTTCTTTTAAATCTGCAAACAAATATGCAGTTTTTATATCCAAATGATAAACAGAATGTCCACGCTGTGATGCATCTTTTAACAAAAGCTTAACTGTTTCATATTTTACGCTTGGTGAATAACACAAATCATAATCTTCGCCTGGAATTTGTTGAAAACCCCTAGCAACTAATCTAGCCTTGTACCTTACAACTTCATTTTTGTCATTCATTTTAACTCTATAAACCCATTTTGAATCAGTAAGTCTCATATCTGGGGTTTGTGGTACAAGAGACCAAGTGTTATGCTCTTTTAAAGAAGCTATCTCAGAGTTCATAGCTTTATACCAATTTACAGCTTGGTGCTTAGGTAAATTCCGAACATCATTGTAGCTTTTGGCTCAAAAACCGCCTTATTGGCATAGACAGTATTAAAATGTTCATCTGCAAAACGTTGTGGCTTCTGTCTCTTTCTATCTGAACGTCTTAGTCCGGAAGGAGAGTCAGACTCCTCAGACTTAATGGGACTATGTAAACTACTAGTTTCAGGTTGTAAATCATCATTGTCAGACTGAAGAGATGCCTGTTGGCTAAGCTCACGGTCAGAAAACTCAAGAGAATCTAACCTCCCTCGGGTGCCTGTGACTTTAAATCATCAAACAAATTATCAGATTCAACAGGCTTTTCGTCTTTTCCCATTAATTCAGAAGCACCATTTCCTGCTGCTGCTGCTGCTTCTCCTTCTACCTCTTCTTCCTCAGTATTATCTATACCGTTAGTATCTTGGAAAATAGCAACGCCATTCCAATTTACAGTTTGTATCATGCTTCTGGTAATATGAAATTTGCCAGTTGCTGGTATGTAAATTCTGTACGCCCCCCTGCTGGTAGCCCATTAATTTTCCCTGGACACTACGTTCACCCAATTTCTGCTTAGCGGGATAATGCATAATTACATCTGAACCCCAAATGCGTAGGTATTTCAGATTAGGGCGTTTTTAAACAGCTTTTCCTAGGGGGTGACATCTAAACCAGAATGATAACTGCGATTTCTAACATAACAAAAGGCATTGAGCGCTTCAGCCCAAAAGTCTTTGGGCAGATTAGCATCGTGCAGATAAGTTTTAACCCCTGCCTGCAGGTCACGCTGCACAACTTCAACAAGCCCATTTTGCCAGGGACTTCGGGGGCAGATAACTCATGCGTAGTCCCCTGCGCTTCCAGGAATTTCTCAAAATCCTCAGAAACAAATTCCCCGCCCGGTCAGAAAAAGGTTCTTAATAGGTTTGTTAAAATGTGTTTTTACCCAGTTGCAAAAACTTTGTACTTCTCAAATGCTTGGGACTTCTCAGCTATTGCATAAGTCCAACAATATCTACTATACTGGTCTATCAGGGTAAGCCAGTACTTAGAACCTCCTAATGATGGTGGGAGTGGCCCAACTAAATCACAATGTACACGCTCAAATGGCTCAGTTACTTTCCTATCTGAGCACCTACCCTTGCGTGCAACCTTAATCTTATTCTTGCAACAGGATAGACATTGCATAAAGAATTTGCATGGTTTTAAGTTGAGGCCATTAACAATATTCTTGGTCTTAATTACATCAGCAAAATTCAGATGTCCCAGAATTCTGTGCGCCACATGGACACACCCAGAATGTGGCCTTACATTCCTCAACCCCTGGCTTGACTGTGCTGCTCTGCAATTTATAGGCGATTGGGAGTAGGTGCAAAAATACAGTCTATATAAACCATCAGATTCCCGGGCATACAATAGACGTTTGTTCCCCTCGAAAAACTCACACATTGACTTTAAGAAACGCACAGTTATGCCTTGACGAGCAAAGCACCTTACTGATAATAAATTGTCCACTGATGGGCAGTAAATGCAGTTCGCTATAGTAATGTTTAAAGAGTCAAGTTTAACAGTACCCCTGCCAAGCGACTGCAAGACTTGTGAATTGGCTAAATGTACATTACCAATTTCCTCTTCGAAAGAAATAAACAAGCTTCGATCGTTGCAAACGTGCTGAGATGCTCCTGAGTCCACAATAAAAGAATTCCACTTGGCACCTTTAATTCTTTTACGATCTCTTGTGCTAGCGTGAAAAGCTCGCGGCTCGTTTCTGTCTTTACGGTACGATGCCGGCTGCTGAGCTGACGACCGTGACTGACGAACAGAAACAGACTTGGGAGTACTTTGCTTTCTTTTGGATCTGCAGTCCTTTGCAAAATGTCCTTGCTTATTGCAGAACCAACAACGCTTTGCAGCTTTAAATGCAGTTGTATCACCACAAGTTTGCATATGGCGTTCCTCATTCTTTCTGGAAATAGGAGTGCTTATGGCACAAGCCTCCCTTCTGTCCAACTCGCCCATTAATCTTGCCGTTACCCCTGCCACAGTTAATTGTGCTGGTGGAACGGCAGATATCTGGCTAGCTATACCATCAAAGTCCTCATTAAGGGAACAAAGGATGATGAAAACATACTGAATATCAGGTATCTCCATGTCCCTTCGAATTAATTCGCCGCGTATTGCCTCCAGACGTCTCAAGTGTGCTGCCAAATCACCACCAGGCTGCAACTCGTCTGGTACAACTGCTTGAAAACGTCAATGCAGACGCTGACTCTTTTCTAACATGCACTGCTGCAAGACTGTCCCACATTTCTTTGGCAGTTTTCTTATTTCTTATATAGACTACTTGCTGGTCGCTGACTGCCAAATTAATTATCGCCCTGGCTTTCGCATCTCCTTTCGACCAAGCATTAGTCACAGGGTCAGGAGGGTCATCAATTACATAGGTCCATACTTCTCTAGAGGTCAAAAGCGCCTCCACCCGAAAAGACCATAAACTATAGTTCTCATCTGTCAGCTGTGGGAAGACCAGAGCCTTCTCAGCTTCAGGAACCCGGTCAACCATTCTGGAACTCTTCCAGACCCACAGAACTACGCTAACAGGAGAAGGAGTTTTCAAACCTTTCTCAGAGTCCAAAAATATGCAGTCATCCACTCAGCAGCTGGGCCCATAACCAAAGATGTTGGCTTTTTGCAGTATGGTAGCGCTGCAGAGAGCTTGCTGGGGAGACCATGCATTAAAAAGGGACTCAAAAATAATTTAAACAAGGTTTTAATAAGAAAAACAAAAACTCCTTTTACACTAAATACATTAACAAACAAACATGACCCAACCACCAACCCATCCCCCAGGGTAATGGGAGAGCTAGGTGCTGCTCCTTATATACTACACCCAATTGCCAACACAGCTTAATCAGTACAACTCGGCAGCACCTGCTATGTTTCACAGCTGTAAAGCTGGGTCTCGTTATCTTGCTCTGGCCCTTGCTTTGGCCCCTTAAAGACATACACATCGGGTGGAACAGTGATGAACCTTTACATTTAAAGAAACCATTCAACACTACTATCAAAAATTTCTCTCCTTGTGTTTGAATTTCAATTGCCACAAATCTTCCTTGGTCATCTTTGAAGATAAATTTCGGTAATAGTCTCTCCTTTGCATAAATCCCTAGCCCTCTTTTTTTAACCTTGTCCGATGAAATAAACTCCTGACCCAGTCTTTTATTAATCAGTAGTTTCCTGTGTAGCCTTGTTACATGTGTTTCTTGTAAACAAATCAAGTCCAATTGTTCCTTTTTTAATAAACGAAACACAGATCTCCTTTTCTGAGGGGAGTTCAAACCATTACAATTCCAGCTTAATAGTTGCAGAGCCATGATGTATTTACTTTGCTTCTCCTCCAACTGCACCCAGTGCCTGTTCCTGATCTGTCGGTGGTATCCCCTTCTTCAGGCGGTCTTTTAGTTCAGGAGGTAAACCTGGTATGTCTAAAGTTTCACTTACTAGTGCTCTTAACTCTTCTGCAGCTTCCTTCTGCAGGTCTTCTCCGTGGTCTCTCCAAAATCTATCTTTGTCGTCCTCTGATCTTATTTTTATCTTCTTCCCTTTGTAACTAAAGGATAGGCCTTGGGGGAATTCCCACCTAAAGATGATTCCGTTACTTCTCAACAGGGCAACCAAATCTCTATAATTGGACCTAAGGTCCAAAAGATGTTTCGGAATGTCCTTAAATATCTCCACTTTTGACTGGTGTATTTCCAAAGTCTTCTGGAAGTGCGGACTCAAGATTTTGTCTCTCTCCTCTTTTGTTCGGAGGGTGATCAAACAGTCTCTCACCCTGTTCTTCCTCCCTCCTCTTCCAAGCCTGAAGGCACTCACTATCTTGAAACTATCCTTCTCCAAATCTGGGTTCCAAAAGTCTGCAAATTCCTGCGTAAGAAAGTCAATCAAATTGTCTTTCTCAAGTTCGGGTACGGCCCTGATCCTTAAATTCGTTTGTTTCTCCTTCAACTCAATCATAGACAATATTGACCTGTGGTCTTCAAGTTGTTTGTGTATCGGTGGTATCTTCTCTTCTACAACAGTGGCTGTAGCAGTTGCTATTTCCTTTGCCTCTTCGGCTGTCTTTCGTGTCAAGGTAGATTCCTGTAGTAATTTCTGAATAGTTTCTGTATTGGTATTTACCTTCTGTCCCAAATTATTAATACTTGTGGTGTTTTGGTCAATTTTACCCGATGCCTCGGTTACTTGTTTACTTATTCTTTCCAAAGATTCGTTGATTTTACCTAGTGCCTGAGCCAAAGCATCTTCAGCTGCCATTCCTTTAGGTTTAGGTTGTGCCGATGAGGTTACTGTTGGTAAACCAGAAGGGCCAGATGTCGATGCTCTTCGTTGCAGCCCACCGTCTGTGCGAAATAGTCTGCCAGATCTTGTTGCTCTTTCCTGTAACAAATCTATCTTCTCCTTCCCATCTGCCATAACCCTCAAGATAAAACCCAAGGTCAGTCTCACGATCAGAATTTGTTTTGAAGTGGAAAATTCCCCTGGCCCAGCTGCTATTGTAGCATTTTCGAACTTCCTCTAGGGGGACACAGTAGCCGTCAAAAGTGTCTTAAAGTAATTAACTTTTTTCCTTTAGCTCCCCAATTCACAAAAAGGACAACAGTTTCAATCCCAGTTATTTCCTGTTACTTTAAAACCAGGAGAAGCCAGTCAGAAATATTGTATCTTACTTGTATCTCAGATGCAGAGTTAACTGTCAAAGAGTACTTTCAGCAACAGCGTGTTTCGCAATACGGCTTTCTTACTGTTCACTGGCAACCCGTTCCAGGGTTTTAAGCGGTGGATTTTAGCTTCTTTTCCTCTCTTTTTGCAGGGAAATACAGTTCAGACCTTTCCCCCCTCCTCCCCTGCAATCAAGGGGGGGGAAATCGCTTGTTTGATGTTCGAATTATAGTCCTTTTCCGACGTCTTTTAAGGTTTCCGCTTACAAGTTCATTGCTTTACTCCATTTACAAGAACGGAAGGCAGACTTCCTGTTTATGCCTCTCCGCTTCGGTGCCAAATTATTTGTAAAATTTGTAAGTTCCTTTAATTCCGAAATTAGCCTACTCACGGATCGTTGTTTTGCAGCCAAATTGTCCCAGGAAAAAGGCAGCGCTCTCCGGTAATGGCTACGCGACTTCGCTCCACGGAAGAAGCAGTTGACTCACAGCACCGCGCCACTTCCCCGCTCCGCTCCGGAGCCCGTAGTCGGGCTCCTTTGCCAATTGGGGGGGGCGCAAAAGGTGCCCGCCGAGTCCCACGGTCACAGGCTTCACCCGCCTGTGATTTTTGAAGGGTCCCCGCTTCGCCGTAGAGGTGCAGACCCGATTTCCACAGAGCCGGTTCCCTCCAAGTCAGAGGGAATCCGCCATTACCGATGGCGCCACCCCGGAAGTCCACATTTCACATAATTTTTAGTTGGTCGTGCTAAAAACACACCTACTCTCTTCAAACGCCAACAGCTAACTGGCGGCCAGCACAGTCGCAACTGTTCTACTCACACATATATAGGCACATTTGGGTGATGTCGCGACACAAATACCATTTCTCGATATTGAAATATTGTTGGTGTGTAAATGTGCCCCTTGCATCAATGTGCCCCACCTCCCCCAATCAGCATTTTCAGAGGAGGGGGAAGAAGGGGAAAGTGTGTCCCACCAGATAAGACTCCCATCCTCCCTGGCCATGGGCCATCCTTGCTTGGGCAGGTGGTACTTTGAGTCCAACCACATCTGGAGGGCCAGAGGTGCCTCACCTCAGTATAGACGGTTCCTCTAGGGCTCAGTGTTACTTGGGAGTTGGTGAAATTGGATCTTAAGGGTTCTTGAGACATTGCCAAGGGATTGTGATTGGTATCCAGACCCTAACACGATAAAGCCAAGGTGTCCACACTGAGCAGTTTATCAACCCTGCTGGCTGCTGGGGAAGACCTTCAGAAGGAAATTGTTTGTCCCCAAAGTTGCTTCCTTCCTTTCTCCGCTGCTGCTGCCCACACTAAAGGAATGTCTGGATGAAATCCCAGGGATGTCTGGCTCCTATGTCCAGTTGAGATTCTAGAAAAAAGTGTGGCTAAGATTCTGAGTCACAATCGTGGCTGAGAAATACAGCCAGGGAATATGAAACTGATTTGAAGATTGGTTTCTTCTTTACACTTCATTATTATTATTATTAGTAGTAGTATTATATTACATTCAGGAGGACACACCACTGGTTTCATCATCTTTCTATTCTTTCCCACACTCAGTGTTAGTCACCTTTAATACTCACCTTTTTCAGTGTAACACATATTTTTATCTTGTGATATTCAGATGAAGAGAGGTATAACAATTTAATAAATAATTCCCAGTTGGAGCAGAGCTAGAATATCCAGAAGCCCTTGGCCACCCACGGCAAAGGAGGAAGAACAGTGAGAGAGGCCTGGACAGGGAATCTCCGCTAAGATAAGCCAGTGTCAGGAGGCAGGTGCGAGACCCAGCGGCATATAATTATTATAAATCATAATTGGGGTGGGTGTCTCAATCTGGCCTTCCCAGCAGTCAGGCTCCAGCTGCTTTCCTTCTGCATTTCCAGCTCTCTCCGTTCAATAATGCAAGGCTGAGAGATGGAGGTCCAACCCCAAGAACATTCTCCAACTGAGCACTCCTTCAACCGACCACAAGCACCAAGCCTTGTCACTAGACTTATATATGGGTCTCCCAAAATGGTCAGTATGGACCTCCTGAGGCCAAAGGGAATGTGCAGGTGATTAATAAAGATCTAGAGGTCGAAGGCGACAAAATGTGGCCCAAGGGGTGCAGTGGATGAAGAACTTCATGATGAATTTAGGATCCTGATTAATATTGGCCAGGTTCATGGAACATAGAGCAGCTCCCGTTCCTGTGAGAAACCACTTTTTATAAAACGTAAACCCCACAGTTCAACCGTATTCTAAGATAATGCTGCTTCATTAATGCTTAATTAAGGGTTAGGAAAGGCTGATGATGCATTACCATTATTTAACATTATTTCATCTGTCTTTCCTAAAAATTTGGAACATATGGAGGACAGGAAAGAATGTACGAGACGTCAAAATAAGAGCAGGTGCTAATTGATGTGTGTAATATTCCTTTGTTCTCTTCCTAGGTTTCCTTCCCCCCCCCCACTCCTCCCTGTTGAAAGAAGACAATGGAGAAGGCAGTCAAAATTCTGGAGGGCCATGTCCAATGGGAATAACAAAGAAACCATATAAATTCATGGAATGTGAAAAGAGAGAGGAGAAACAATTTGAAAGTATGGAGTGTGGGAAGAGTTTCACTGACAGTGGAACACTTGGAAAACATCAACGGACTCACACAGGAGAGAAACCATTTAAATGCATGGAGTGTGGAAAAAGCTTTGGTTGGAGTTCAAACCTTCGTATACATAAACACACGCACACAGGGGAAAAACCATATAAATGTAAGGAGTGTGGAAAGAGCTTCAGTCAGATTGGACACCTTAGAAACCATCAACGAACCCACACAGGGGAAAAACCATATAAATGTATGGAGTGTGGAAAGAGCTTCACCGATAGTGGAACATTTAGAAAACATCAACGGACTCACACAGGAGAGAAACCATTCAAATGCATGGAATGTGTAAAGAGCTTCAGTCAGAGTAGAAACCTTAGAATCCATCAACGGATTCACACAGGGAGAAACCATTTAAATGTTTGGAGTGTGGAAAGAGTTTTAGTACGAATAGAAGACTGAATATTCATCATAAAAATCACACGGGGAAAAACCATTTGAATGTATGCTGTGTGATAAGAGCTTCACTGAGAGTAGAAAACTTAGAATCCATCATCGAACTCACACAGGGGAAAAACCATATAAATGTATGGATTGTGGAAAGAGATTCAGTCACAGTGAAACACTGAGAAAACATCAACGGACTCACACAGGAGAAAAACCTTATAAATGTATGGAGTGTGGAAAGAGCTTCACCGATAGTGGAACATTTAGAAAACATCAACGGACTCACACAGGGGAGAAACCATTTGAATGTATGGAATGTGGAAAGAGCTTTATTGATGGTACAGCACTTAGAATCCATCAACGGACTCACACAGGGGAAAAACCATTTGAATGTATGCAATGTGGAAAGAGCTTCACTTCTAATGGAGCAGTAAGAAGACATCAATGGACTCACTCAGGGGAAAAACCATTAAAATGCATGGAATGTGGAAAGAGTTTTATTGAGAGGAGAGAGCTGAGAACCCATTATCAAACTCACACTGGGGAGAAACCATTTAAATGCACCGAGTGCGGAAAGAGCTTCAATCGCAGTGGAACACTTAGAAAACATCAATGGACTCACACAGGGGAGAAACCATTTAAATGCATGGAATGTGGAAAGAGCTTTATTAATGGTACAGCACTTAGTATCCATCATCAAACTCACACAGGGGAGAAACCATTTAAATGTAAGGAGTGTGGAAAGGGCTTCACCAATGTTGGAAATGTTAGAAGACATCAACGGACTCACACTGGGGAGAAACCATTTAAATGCATGGAATGTGGAAAGAGCTTTATTGATGGTACAGCACTTACTATCCATCATCAAACTCACACAGGGGAGAAACCATTTAAATGTAAGGAGTGTGGAAAGGGCTTCACCAATGTTGGAAATGTTAGAAGACATCAACGGACTCACACCGGAGAAACCATTTAAATGTATGGAGAGTTGAAAGAGTTTCTTTCAGAGTGGAACCCTAATTTCACACACAGGAAACTTAGACGACATCAACAGACTCACTCGGGGACAAGCAAATAAATGTATGGAGTGTGGAAAGAGTGTCAATAGAAGTGGAAACCTTAGCAAACATCAGCGAACTCAAAAAGGGAAAACCACTTACGTATATGGAGCGTACATAGAGCTTCAGTCCTGATGTTCCTACATACCATCAATGGACTCGCAAGGAGGAAAAGCTTTAAGAGTTGAAACCCTACAATCCACAAACTGAAAAATATTAAATGCCTTGAATGGAAGGAGAGTGGGAAATGTTTCAATTGCTTTATATATAGATAATTTTATTAATACAGTGGTACCTCGGGTTACATACGCTTCAGGTTACAGACTCTGCTAACTCAGAAATAGTGCTTCAGGTTAAGAACTTTGCTTCAGGATGAGAACAGAAACCGTGCTCCGGCGGCGGAGCAGCAGCAGAAGGCCCCATTAGCTAAAGTGGTGCTTCAGGTTAAGAACAGTTTCAGGTTAAGAACGGACCTCCGGAACGAATTAAGTACTTAACCTGAGGCACCACTGTATATAATTTTATTTACAAATTGCGTTCAAAAATGGAAGCATTCACTTCTGGGTTCTTGGCGTTTGAAAGCCCCAAACGTTCAACTTCCGAAGCGTTCTACAACCGAGATTCCACTGGGTATCCAGCAAGTGTGTGTTGTCCAACGATATCCATTCTTTTAACCAACAGAAAGAGGCTGCCTCGTAGTAGAAAATCTAGCATTGCGAAGCCACCTCTATTTTTAGTATGGAATGTGGAAAGAGCTTCACTGATAGTGGAACACTTAGAAAGCATCAAAGGACTCACACAGGGGAGAAACCATTTAAATGCATGGAGTGTGGAAAGAGCTTCACTGACAGTGGAACACTTAGAAAGCATCAACGGAGTCACACGGAGAAACCATTTAAATGTATGGGTTGTGGAAAGAGCTTCACTGATATTGGAACATTTAGAATTCATCAACGAACTCACACGGGGAGAAACCCTTTAAATGCATGGAGTGTGGAAAGAGCTTCACTGAGAGTGGAACACTTAGAAAGCATCAAAGGACTCACACAGGGGAGAAACCATTTAAATGCATGGAGTGTGGAAAGAGCTTCATTAATAGTGGTACACTTAGAATTCATCAACGGACACACAGGAGAGAAACCATTTAAATGCATGGAATGTGGAAAGAGCTTCACTGATAGTGGAACACTTAGAATTCATCAACGGAGTCACACGGGGGAGAAACCATTTAATTGCATGGAGTGTGGAAAGAGCTTCACTGACAGTGGAGGACTAAAACTACATGAACGGACTCACACGGGGGAGAAACCATTTCAATGCATGGAGTGTGGAAAGAGCTTCAGTCAAAGTGGAAACCTTAGAATTCATCAACGGACTCACACAGGGGAGAAACCATTTAATTGCATGGAGTGTGGAAAGAGCTTCACTGACAGTGGAGGACTAAAACTACATGAACGGACTCACACAGGAGAGAAACCATTTAAATGCATGGAGTGTGGAAAGAGCTTCAATAGAAGTGGACACCTTAGCAAACACCATCGAACTCACAGAGGGAAAACCACTTACTTATTTCTTACAAAACATCAATGGACTCACAAGGAGGAGAAGCTTTAAGAGTTGAAACCCAACAATCTACCAACAAACTGAAAAAGCAGAAATGATTTGAATGGAAGGAGTGTGGGAAGTTCTTCTATTACTTTATATGTATATAATTTTATATGCAATTTATTTTTATATGCAATTTATTTACAAATTGCTACATACTTTCCAGATACACATTTATTTCATACTTGACTTCCTCTCCATGGTTTCCCCATAAAAATTTTAAATTGCTGCATATTTCAGATATTTACACCTTACCTTTTCCACACTCTTCTCCAGCAATTATTCAACTGTTGTTTTCCATTCAGCTCCTACCTGTGTTTGTACATGTTTACAAAAATTCTTTAAACATTCAACAAAAGGTTTCTACTCCTCCTTAAAGTCTGTCTTGATCTCTTATTTTCATAGTTAAATTTGCCAATTTGGCATATTCCATCACTTTTAACTGCCGCTCTCTTGATCAAGTGTAGCTATCTCTTGATTTTGCCATTTTTGTGCATAAAGTACTCTTGCTGCTGTCGTTCATCTGTCTTCATGGAACATTTAACCCAGTTATCCCTAAAAGAAATGCTTCATGGTTTCTTCAGGAGCATCACCCTAAGTAATTTTCTCCCTAGTTATAATCCATCTGGTTGGCTGAAAGCCACAAAGATGTTTTCTTTTCCAACAAATCCTTATACATTTCCCAAACTCTTTATAAATTCTTCCTAATTACATAATTAATTACAAAAAAAGTATTTGGTACTTTGCCTTCTTTTGAGATACCTTTCTGCAGTGTTCTATCTTAGTCCAGTGATACTACTCCATTAAAATCGCCCATAATATATTTCCAACATACTTTCATCCAATAGTTGGAAGAAATCTTTCTTTTTCCTCATTAGGTGTGTCAGCTCCTACCAATAATATTTTTTTCTCCTTGCACCATCACTTTCACTGCAATAATTCTTCACCTCTAAAGATCTGTTTAGAGTCCAGTTTGGAATTCATATATAGTACCACCCCTCTTTTCTTTGTTTTATATGAATTCCTGTCCTAGTCCTTTATTTACCAATAATCATTTTTGTTGTTGTTTCCTTGTGAAAATATGTGTAATTTTATTTCATTTGGTTTTGTTGTTCAAACCATTCACATTCAATGAAAACAATTTTAAATCCATCATTGAATCCTTTAAGCAGTTTTAAGTCCCCTTTCCCCTTATCAGCTATCTCCCTCCTCCAGCTCTTCTACTGATGCATCCAGCTCCCAGCTCTTTTTTTAAACATTTCCTCTAGAATGCCTCTGCTTTTATTGCCCCTTGCCATCTTTGTTTCTTCCCTATGTACATAAAAAAATTCCCTTCCAGGAATTCTCAACTAAAGGGAATTGAATTCTTCTTGAGCGTATCAGCCAGAAACTTATAGCTGGTTCTTTTCTTCAGCAATTTTGAACATTGTAATCAGTTTTTCTGGTAGTGTGTTTGGAGTTCTTGATCTTGAGTTTCATAAAATCAATCAAACTCCTGGTAGTTTATTTGCTTTTGCATAAGCTGATTTCACTCTGAAAGCAAGAATCTCCATCAAGTCGGTTTTTTCTTTCTTTCTCCTCTTGTTTCTCCTTCTCTACTTTGGTTGAGGGTGTCTTCCTCGTCTGGCCCATAGTCAAGTTCTTGTTAACACCCAACATTTTTATAGCTTTCCACTTTTGACAGAGTGCCCCGATGTTCCGATAACCCCAGAGCCTTACGGGGGGGCTATAGGGGCTATACCCACGCTCTCTCTCCCACCCCTATGGCACCTGAACTGCGGAGGGTGCATGGCAGGCGACCGAACTCCGATGCGACAACCTGGAAGTCCTAGAGCGGTGCATCAGTTAGAATGGGATGCTTAAGAAACCTCTACAGATTCTCAAAGTGGAGAAAACATTTAGATGTATGGAGTGTTTGACATATTTCTCTCAGAGTTCACTTTCCTTCCCATCAATGAACTCAGATAATGGGAAATCAGTCTCAAATCCATGGAGTGTATGTTAAGTTCTGGTATTTGTATATAAAGTTGTATAGACAGGTCATTAACGAAATGAAGGTCATGTCTCACAAGTATAATAGAAGATATAATATAATGTTAGGGAGGGGGAGAATCTGGAGTGCTGGGGTGAGTGATGATGGGCTGAGAGTCAGCTGATTTTTGGTCCTTGGTGGAGAGAGTTGGAAATGTTGGTGTTAGGAGTTGTGGTGGTAGTTTGGGAGCAGGGTTGGTGGGATTAGTAGTATAGGAACAGCATCATAACTCCCATTGATGGAACAACAAAGACACAAAAAGACGAAAAGCATCTTATACATAGACTGAAAGGGCTTAAGGTCAGTGAGAAAGAGGAGGATTGGTTTGAGAAGATACTGAATTATTTGGGTAGGTTTGAACAATTTGGGGCAATTAAAATGTTAAAAGTTAAATAAACCTTGTGGAGGGAGGAGCGTTAAGGTATATAGAATTGTACACATGGTTGAGCTGAATATGTTGTAATTGAATATTATTGAATATGTATATTATTGAATATTGTATACCCAATGTATTTTTATTAATAATAATAAGACACAAAAAGAGTAGAAGCATCTTATACCTACTGCTAATATCCAAAACCTCATATATTGTTTATATTTTATAATAGTTTTTATTAGTTTTTATTAATAATAATCCAATATAAGCAACATTAATACAATACCAATTCATCATACAATTAAAAAAGCCAATTATTCTATTCCAAATTAAGCATTTTTGGATGACTTCCCATGCTGTGGTCTTGGGGAGAGGCTGTTGTTCCTTCTCCTGCTTCCATTCTTTTTTAATTCAAATAGTTCAGTTCCAATGTTGTTCCTTTATCTTGGCAGCCATTGATGTAGCGACTTGGTTCGTATTTAGCTATTCCTTATCTTTCAATTTGCCAGAGGGGTTTATATCTTGTAACTTTCTGTGTGGAATATCTTTTAAGGTTGGTGTTTCCCTTCCTGTTGTAATCTATTATTTCCGGTATTCCCCACCCCAACCCCACTCCAAGAACTTGATTCTTGCTGTGCAATCGACTCTGCCATCTTTCATTGGAATTTTGCCTTTTCCCAGTAGTGATGTATGGAAGTGAGAGCTGGACCATAAAGAAGGCTGATCACCGAAGAATTGATGCTTTTGAATTATGGTGCTGGAGGAAACTCCAGCACCATAATTGGACAATGTTCTCGAAGCTACCAGCATGAGTTTGACTAAACTGCGGGAGGCAGTGGAAGATAGGAGTGCCTGGCGTGCTCTGGTCCAGGGGGTCACGAAGAGGCGGACACGACTAAACGACTAAACCACAACAACAAGGGCTGACTTCCAGCTTTCCATTACTAATTACAATCCATTAATAATTATATTCCATTAGGAATTATTTTTCTTTCTTGAGTGAAGAATTGCCACATCATAAAACAATGTAGTGCATGTATAGAGAAAGAAGAAAGGCTGTTAGGATTTCATGCTCCCCAATGCTGATTTTATGTTTGATATATTTCACACGCCTGTCTGAGTGGAGCGTGAGAAAGGAAGACTGTCTTATCTCTCTTCCGGTGTGAGACTGTGAAACTACTTTCACTTTTATGTCGTTCTGTTTTGTTGTTGGAGCTGATGAGAATGGATGCCATTATGCATATGTGTGTAAATGTTATGTAAATAAATAGTAGTTTAGAACTACGATGCTTCTTTCTTTTGCTGTGTTAAGCCAGAAGGCTAGTGTGCATAAATCAAGATGGTTTATGTCGCTGGAGCGCCCTGGAGAAGAAGGGGATGCCTTTTCCAGAGCTATGCTCACCGGAGGACGCTCAGAGATCCGGAAGGGGGGCTGCAGGTAGCCCAGAGCGTTTTCCAACAAAGGCTTCCCTTCACTCACCTTCCAATCCGGCCAGACAGGAAGGACTGGCCTCCTAGCTGCAAATCTTGCATGAAGGGGGAAGGTGGCAGAGCAGAGAGTGGGCAGTGCCAGAGAGACCTTGATGCAATGGGGAGGTGGCCTATGTGTTAAATGCTTCACTGGAAGCTCCTATCACATTATCCCCAAGATAACACACTTAGGGGAGAAACCCTGTGGATGTCTATAGTGTGCGTTTGGCAGGTCCCAGACTTAAGGGTCAACTTTCTACAAATCCACACGCTGCCTGGAGGCAGGAGCCACCTCTGAGCATTGAGGCAGCCAAGAGGAAGCTTCCTCTGAAGGTCATAGGGGCACGTGGACCTGGCGTGGCCAGTTTTCAGGGCTCTTTCCAGGAACGGCTGAACCCATGGTTCACAGGGGGTGGGGAAGGGAGGGAGAGGCCCAAGGTCTCTGCCTCCTCCACACCCCCAGGGGTTTAGCCTGTATCTGGACTGCACCACTTCAGCCTGCAAGGAAGACCCTCTTTTTCTGGGACACATTGATTCCACCACTTGGGGAAGCAGACCAAGTCGGGGGGAGGAGATGTCCAGCCAGGACCCTCCTCCCTTGGGAGAAGGAGTGCACTGGGGAGCAGTCCATCCTGCCAGCTGCCTCCCCTGCAGTCTGAGGCGGGACAGATCCTGCCCAGCCATAGATCCACCACTCGGGAGGACCAGGACCGAGAATTTGGGTGCAACTTGCGCTATTAATGCTCCCCTCAGATTTACTGTAACAGGAATAGCAGCTCCGCTGGGGCACGCTGAGGTCTTTTTTACAAGCCTCACATGTTTCTCTTTTAAGTTTGCCTCACACAGTTCCCTTTAGGTAGCCTCACATGGGGCACCACTATGTTGCGTTTGCAAAGTAAAGGAAGGATTGAACTCTGATTAATAAGAATACACACAGAGGCTTAAACCAGCAAGACTCTGGGAAGGGTGCGTATAATCGTGTCTCTCTGTGCCTGTCCGTCAGATCTCCGCAGCCCCTGGCCCAGGCCGTTTTTTATTCACAAAAGAACTTTTTACAGAGTGTTCAAAAGAACCTATCAGATTTCTTCTGAGCATTTCCACAAACCCACGTGGGGACAAGTTAAACCACTAAAACTAATTAAGCACAAATATTTCTGGGGTAAACAAGTTGAGAACTACAAAGAAGAGCATTTGGCAACCCTGGAGGTAATAAACAAGCAATACATATGATAAGGAGGATGGCCAGGAGGACAGCAGATCCTTATCACCTTCATGTGAGATCTGTTTCCTGGCCCTAAGATTAACATCCTAAGATTAATATACATCAAAGAAACTTGCCCACTATCTTTATGGCCCAGGGAGAAGAGGGGAACAGGCAGTAGAGGCAAAAGGGCATGAAAAGGACATGAATGTAGAATCTTATGGGATTTAATCAGAAATTATCGTCAATATATCAAACCCAGTCAACACAATGTCTTCATCGTGGACACGATGACTTGATATATATTTTATAATTCCTCATGGTAATCCCATCTGACCCCTACAAGTGATGGGGGAGGGGGGAATTTAGCCATGGAGGACCTTCACTCCCCCTTCACTTCCTATCCTCTCTAGGAATCCCGCTCTGCTCCTTTTAACCCTTGACAAGCCGAGCGCCCCGAGTCCTCCCCTCCCTCTCCCTGCCTTCAGTTTTCCTGCTTCTGCACCTGCGCTCTAGGGGCTGCCCCCTTCCCTCCCTCTTTCTCCCTCTGGGCCAAGGACTCTGCCCCAAGGAGCCCACATCCAACCAGACTAACAGCAAGGGAGACGGGGGGGTCCATGGGGGGTTACCTCGGCTCTCCCCCAACATAGAAGCTCCTGGATCCCAAGGAAAGGCTGGGAGGGAGAAGAGGCGAAGAGCTGCCTAGTGGCGGGAGGTGCCTTGGGCTCAGAAATGGCTCCCTCAAGACACCCCTCCAAAACACACCCTCCAGCTCAGCGGGGGGGATGATGGAGGGGGGGCTTCCCAGCCGGGAGACCCCTCCCCTCCCAAAAATAACCCCACCCACTCAAGCGGGTTTTTCTGCTTCTGCAGCCGCTTTTCAGAAGAGGATGTGTCCCAGGCGAGGAATCAAACGCACACGCGACCCGGAGGGGCAGGAGGGGGTCGCGGGTTGCTCTGGGGGGCAAATCAATAATAATGATTGAAAAATAAAGAAAAATAAAGGGGAAGACCAGGATGGTGGAGAGAGGGTACCAGACTCCAGTTCAAAGGAAGAGGGACCCCTGCCATCCTTTCCCCGTGTTTCCTGCCAGAAAACCAGTTTCTCATGGCTGCTCCCCTCCCAGCTTCTCCTTCATTTCTCCTTCCTTCTCTTCCTTTTCCTCTTTCCCCCCATTGTTTGGGGGGTGCTGGCTCCCCCTCCATGCCAGGCAGGCCCAGGAGGAGCCCACGGAGGCGGCAGGGTCAGGAGAAGGGGTTTCCCACCTTTTTCCGAAATAGGAGGGAAGGCCATTTTGTTTTTCCCGGAGGCCCCAGCCGCTCCCAGAGACGCCATGGCTCCCCTGTGGGCCTCGGGGGTCCCACGCTCTCGGGGTCTCTCCTCCCAGATGAAGGAGGGCGGCACCTTTGGTCCTCAGCCGCCTTCCTGCCATGATGGCTTGGCCTCCACAGGGCAGCCTCTCTCCTCGCCATGTGGGCCCCACGGAGGAGGCCTCTCCCTTGGGAGACACCAGGCAAGCGGCCTTGGGGGATCTGCCATGTTCTGCGAAGTGGGTGAGGAGGGAAAGGCCCTCTCTGTCTCGGAGGCCCAAGGAGGAAAATCATAATAATAATAGTAATAAGGGTTTTGTGCCCTCAGAGGTAGAGGGTTCCCTCAGGGGAGTTTGACCCCCAGACCAGCATCCTTGGTCACCGCAAGAGTCAGCGCAAGCAGAAGGGCTCCACCTGCAGGCCTAGGGGAAAGGTGGGCTCTTCCCCAGACGAGGCTGGAGACTCCCCTGCTGGCCCCTCGGGGTCCCAGGAGCCCTTTCTGGATGGCCCTTGCTTGCCCCACAAATGGGCCAAGACATCTGTTCCTCCCCCTCAGGCGGTATTTGAACAGGAGAGGTCGCTCCCACTCCTGATCCCTGTGGGTCTCAGGAGGCAGTGGGGGGACTAGGGAACTGGCTGAACTGGGGTCCTCCCAGTCCAGCCCAGACAAGAAAGAGAGGGAGCTCAGAAGAGGAAGCCATTGCGGAGAAGAACCGGACTTGGCTGTTCTCTGCTGAGGGTCTCCTGCCTTTCTTCCAAGGCTTCCTGGGGGCTGCCATGGCCAGAGGAGGAGAGAGGCCCCCCACCCTGAATCCCCTGCAGGGCCCTGGGGGGCAGGCAGATCTCTTGCTCTTGCCATGGCAAAGCATGTCTCAGTTTCCTTCCCCAAGGCCTTGGATGAACCTTGGGGTGCGGAAGGAGGAACCCCAAATGGAGCTCAGACTCCTGGCAAGTGGGGAAAGGAACATGAAATGGCGCTTTCCAGATGAGTCTCAATACAATGTTGTTGTTTAGTCGTTTAGTCGTGTCCGGCTCTTTGTGACCCCATGGACCAGAGCACGCCAGGCACTTCTGTCCTCCACTGCCTCCCGCAGTTTGATCAAACTCATGCTGGTAGCTTCAAGAACACCATCCAACCATCTCGTCCTCTGTCGTCCCCTTCTCCTTGTGCCCTCCATCTTTCCCAACATCAGGGTCTTTTCCAGGGAGTCTTCTCTTCTCATGAGGTGGCCAAAGTCTTGGAGCCTCAGCTTCTGGATCTGTCCTTCCAGTGAGCACTCAGGGCTGATTTCCTTCAGAATGGAGAGGTTGGATCTTCTTGCAGTCCATGGGACTCTCAAGAGTCTCCTCCAACACCAGAATTCAAAAGCATCAATTCTTCGGCGATCAGCCTTCTTTATGGTCCAGCTCTCTCTTCCATACATCACAACTGGGAAAACCATAGCTTTAACTATATGGACCTTTGTCGGCAAGGTGATGTCTCTACTTTTTAAGATGCTGTCTAGGTTTGTCATTGCTTTTCTCCCAAGAAGCAGGCGTCTTTTAATTTCGTGGCTGCTGTCACCATCTGCAGTGATCATGGAGCCCAAGAAAGTAAAATCTCTCACTGCCTCCATTTCTTCCCCTTCTATTTGCCAGGAGGTGATGGGACCAGTGGCCATGATCCTCGTTTTTTGATGTTGAGCTTCAAACCATATTTTGCACTCTCCTCTTTCACCCTCATTAAAAGGTTCTTTAATTCCTCCTCACTTTCTGCCATCAAGGTTGTGTCATCTGCATATCTGAGGTTGTTGATATTTCTTCCGGCGATCTTAATTCCGGCTTGGGATTCATCCAGCCCAGCCTTTCCCATGATGAATTCTGCATATAAGTTAAATAAGCAGGGAGACAAAATACAGCCTTGCCGTACTCCTATTGTATTTCAATACAATAGGATAATCTTTATTGTCATTGTCCCATACAGAACAACGAAATTGAAAAAATGTACATCAGACATTCAAAAACCAACAAGCCTGCTATCCCAGCTATCCCAACCTTGTTAGCCCCCTAAAAACTCTGATACCCCATAATTAAAGATAATATACTCCCATAGAGACTACCTTACACTGTATTTAAAACCAAAATTGCATTTGGATAGAACTGTTTTTCAGGCGGCTAGTCCTAGTTTTTATAACCCTGTACCTTCTTCCAGAAGGCAGAAGCTGAAAGAGATCATTTCCGGGGTGCGCACTATCCTGCACTATCTCTGCAGCTTTCTTATGTAGCACCTACAGCAAATGCCTGCAGGACCATCAGTAGTATGCATGAAAACATCAATGCTAAATTGAGCAGATACCCGGAGGCAGCGCGGATTATTGCAGGGGACTTCACTCACACAGATGTGAGGGCAGCACTCCCAAAATCCCATCAGCACATTGAGTGTGCAATAAGGGGAGAAAATACTCTTGACAAGATGTATACGAACATTAGACGGGCATATGAGGCGCACCTCGGTGGTTGAGATCATGTGTCCCTGCTTCTGACACCAGTGTACACACCCCTCAGTAAACAAGGCCAGCTACAAACATGGATGGTTACGGTGTGGCCTGAGGGAGCCTCTCAGCAGTTTCAGGACTGTTTCTAGGAGACCGATTGGAATATGTTCGACCATCAAGATCTAGAAACTTCTACATCAACGGTCTTAGATTCGGCACAGGAAACGCACCAGGGAAAGGTATGTTAAGTTGTATCCGAATAGGAAGCCCTGGATGACGGGAGAAGTTAGGAGATTCTTGAAGGCCAGAAACTCTGCTTTTAGAACTGGGGACTGGGTACCATATGGTATAGAAAGAGCGAACTTGAAGAGGGGTATCAGGAAAGCAAAGGCTACTTGCATGGCAATTTGCAAGTAGAAAGCCATGGTGTTTCTGGGAGCAGCTGGGGCCTCCGGAAAAAACAAAATGGCATTCCCGCCTTTTTCAGAAACACGCCTTCTCCTGACCCTGCCGCCTCCGTGGGCTCCTCCTGGGCCTGCCTGGCATGGGGGGGGGGGAGCCAGCACCCCCCAAACAATGGGGGGAAAGAGGAACAGGAAGAGAAGGAAGGAGAAATGAAGGAGAAGCTGGGAGGGGAGCAGCCATGAGGGAAACTCAGGGGGAAAACTCCCTCATGAAACAGGGCGAAGGAGAGGAGGAGGCCCAGGGGAATCTGAAATGTGATTGGCCAGCTACCCAATGGAGAGGCCTCTGATTGGTCCAGCCCTGCTCTGGGGTGGGAAATGGGTCTCCTGCCTCCATGTGGTTCTGGGAGCCCAGGAGAAACTGGTTTTCTGGCAGGAAACACGGGGAAAGGATGGCAGGGGTCCCTCTTGCTCTGAACTGGGAAGAGTCCCAGAGGGAGGGCCCGCCCCCCTGAGCACCATGCGCCCCCCTCCTGCCCCCCCCCGGGTCGCGTGTGCGTTTCCTTCCTCGCCTGGGACTCTTCCTCCTCCCGGCTGGGAAGCCCCCCTCCCTCCCTCCCCCCCGCTGAGCTGGAGGGTGTTCCTTGGGGGGTGTCTTGAGGGAGCCATTTCTGAGCCCAAGGCACCTCCCGCCACTAGGCAGCCTTCGCCTCTTCTCCCTCCCAGCCTTTCCTTGGGATCCAGGAGCCTCGATGTTGGGGGAGGGGGAGAGCCCAGCTAACCCCCCCATGGACCCCCCCCCGTCTCCCTTGCAGTTAGTCTGGTTGGATGTGGGCTCCTTGGGGCAGAGGGAGGGAAGGGGGGCAGCCCCTAGAGCGCAGGCGCAGAAGCAGGAAAACTGAAGGCAGGGAGAGGGAGGGGAGGACTCGGCTTGTCAAGGGTTAAAAGGAGCAGAGCGGGATTCCTAGAGAGGGCAGGAAGTGAAGGGGGAGTGAAGGTCCTCCAGGGCTAAATCCCCCCTCCCCCTCCCTTCCTGCTTTCTTCTCTCTCCTTTGCAAAAGCCCCTCCTGGACTCGGGTGAGTCTCCTCTCTCCTCCCCCTGAGGGTGCAATGGGGAGAAGGGGGTCCCAGGGGGGCAGGGAGGGGGCATGGGGGTCCCTGCTCAGATCATGCCTGGGGGGGGGAGACCCCCAAGTCGGGGAGCAGAGGGTCCTCCCTTGTCCTCTCTGCCAAGCCAGGGAGGGGCCAGTTCGCAGGAAATATGCAGCTCTGCTCTTCCTTGGGATCCAGATGCTGCCTTCCTTTTGGGGGGAGGGGGCTTTGGGTCAAGGAAATAAACCCCCTTCAGATGGAGGGAAAAGTCACATTTAAGAACAGAGGCTGCAGCCAGACGGGAACATTCCCACGTGGGGGGAGCACAGGGAGAAGAAAAGCCCGTCTGCATCTGCAGCACCACTGCATCTCCAGACCACTTCCTGTGTCCCAGATGCAACAATATTATATTATACAACATAATATTACTACTAATAATAATAATAATAATTTATTTGTACCCCGCCCATCTGGCCGGGTTTCCCCAGCCACTCTGGGCGGCTTCCACAAAAACGAAAAATACACTATTATGTCATACATTTAAAACTTCCCTGAGCAGGGCTGCCTTAAGATGTCTTCTGAATGTCAGGTAGTTGTTTATGTCTCTCCCCTGTCGCTCTCCACACCCAGGGCTGGCGCTGTGACCTTCCAACAACTGGATCTCACTCCCAAAGACACACTCTTCCATGGTCTCCCAAGACAGATGACTGCCAACCAGCCAACCATTCCCTCCCCTCACAATGCACAATTCCCTCCCCTCCCCCTCCTGGTGCCCCTGGAAGTTGGCTTGAGGGCATTGGGAGGGTCCAACCCACCAGATGAAGGGAGAGGAGGTCCTTCCATCTGGAAAATGGGAATGCTTGCAAAAATTTACTTGAAGATGAGTGCTGTGTAGATAATAAAATATTATTTTGTGGAATTCCCCCATTTACACAAAGATTAAAACCCATCATTTAAATACACAACAAAATTGTTACAGACAAGAACAGAGCAATGTGTAGAAGATCTGGCCATGATCTTCGTTTTTTTGATGCTGAGCTTCAGACCATATTTTGCGCTCTCCTCTTTCACCCTCATTAAAAGGTTCTTTAATTCCTCCTCACTTTCTGCCATCAAGGTTGTGTCATCTGCATATCTGAGGTTGTTGATATTTCTTCCGGCAATCTTAATTCCGGCTAGGGATTCATCCAGCCCAGCCTTTCGCATGATGAATTCTGCGTATAAGTTAACTAAGCAGGGAGACAATATACAGCCTTGTCGTATTCCTTTCCCAAATTTGAAAGCTATTGCCACAGCATCCTCCATGGATCTCTTTGCCTTGTACGCCAAAGGCTACTTGCATGGCAATTAAAGAAAAAATAAGAAGAGAGAGTAATAGAGAAATGAAAAATAATTGAAGATCCTAAAGAAATATGCAAAGAAAAATTAAATTACTATAGGAAGTTTTACCGTGCAAAAGAAGACCAAGAGGAAATGGAAAGATACATAGCACAAAATGGACTCCCGCCAATAGATTGGAAAATAGAACAACTAAATGTACCAACAGCGATGATGGAGGTGCAGCAATCTCAAAAGCAAAGATAGGAAAGTCACCAGGTACGGATGGATTACTGGCGGCATTTTATAAGAAGTTAGAAGATATATTATCAGAACCAATGAAACAGTACTGGACCAAATTTTAAAGGAAAGAAGAATACCAAAATCATGGGAAGAAGCATTTATCACACTGATACCCAAACAAGGGGCAGATCCAACACTAATCAAAAATTATAGACCTATATCATTGTTCAATAATGATTATAAAATATTTGCTAACATCCTAGCCAACAGATTAAAAAAAAGTATTGAATGAAATAATACACAGAGATCAGGCTGGCTTCTTACCAGGCCAGATACATGAACAATAAAATGAGAAACATAATTGATATTTTAGAATATTTAGAAGCAAGATCAGATAAAAAAAGCCATTTTGATGCTGATAGACATGGAGAAGGTCTTCAACAACATCTCTTGGAGCTTCATTGTCAGGGAACTGCCATCAGTGCTGGAGGGAGAGAGTAAAAGCCAGAGGGATTCCAGAGAGCGTCCAGGGATCGGGAGAAGCAGCCCATCTTCTGGGGAAGAGAATCAGCGTAGCACCAGTGGAGAAGGGGGGCAGATGGGGGAAGCGGCGAGGCGGTCCCATGACTCCTTGCCTGGGACCAGCGGGGAGAGTAGGGGTCCTCCGTTGCCCACGCCCTCCTTGCGCAGAAGGCTTCCGCGCAGAGAGAGTAGGAGGAGACTAGGCATCAAAGAGCTTCTTTGCTGGAAAAAGTTTAAGAAACGCCCACTGACGGATTCTGCCAGCGATTGAGTCAGCCACGGGTAAGTGGCTGTCCGGACAGAAAAGGTTCACTTAGGCAACCCAGCCAGGTGTTTGCACCCAGCCGGGGAGATGAGCACCAGCTTACGCACGAGCAACCCCTAGAACCATTACAGCAATCCGTCAGTCCCTGACGTTGCTTGTGTGCAGCCCCGGAGAGGCCGCACAATGAGCCAAACAGGGCCGGCTGGAGAGACAGAGCAAGAAGCCATGGTGCGAGGTCTGGTCGAGAGGAACCAAGAGCTGGAGGCACATGTCGCTACCCTGTCAACGCGGCTGGAGGAGAGGCGGGCTCAGGATGCACAGGTCAGAGCCACCCCGATAGGGAGGAAGGTCCCAAGACTACAATGCTTTCCGAACGGAAATTCAATACGCTTTGGAATTGCAGAAAAATGACTTTGCTGATGACGGGGAGAGGGTGGCTTACATTGTTGGACATCTGCAGGATGGGGCGCGCGAATGGATCAGGCCCTTAATGGCAACGGGGAACGATGCATTGAAAGATCTTAAGAAATTCTACCAGGCAATGGACGCGATGTTCTCCAGCGAGGTTGAGCAAAGCGTGACACGGAGGGAGCTGATGGGGTGCAAGCAGGGGAGCCTGTCCGTCAGAAACTACTGGTCACGTTTTGCGATGTTAGTCCACAAGCTCGGGTGGGATCTGGACTCTGAACCAGTACAAATGCTGTTTGAAGCGGGCTTGGACCCGAAGTGAAAGACGAGTTGTCCAGAGCGCCCCGCCCACGGTCGATGGATGAACTCACAAAGACTGTGCTTGCGATCGGTGTACGCAAGGAAGCGTGGGCTCAGGAGAAGCGGGAGATAAGGGCGGAACGTTTCCATGGCAACCGCATTCCTGAGATGCTGAGGGAGCCTTCCAAGACGGCGGAGCCGATGGAAATTGATGGGGCGTGCGAAGTTTCAAACGCTAGTGAAGGCCGGAAAAGGGAGGGGAAGGAGTGGAAAACTACCAAGAAGTGTTTCCTCTGTCAGCGGCCAGGACATTTTGCAAAGGTCTGTCCTCAACGAAAGGCCTGGCAAGGCATGATGGGGGCTGCAGGCCACGACGAGAAGGGGGAGGAAGGGCCGGTGCAGGGAAACGACAAAGCCTGGCTGCCAACCAGCAGGGGCAGCAGCCAGGCCAGCGACCAATAGAAGTGCCCTGGCCTGACCCTCCCAAGGCAGCTATAGCCATAGAAGTGGTGCTAGAACTCCCAAATGGGCACCCAGTCAAAGTGGAGGGGCTGCTGCATTCTGGCAGCTTGTGTAATTTCTTCAGCAGAGACTTCGCTCTGGTGTACCAGCTCCACCTGTTGCCACTAGATTTTCCCTTGCAGGTGACCACCATCGATGGCAGGGAACTACTGGGAGGGGAAGTGACACACCAGACACTGCCAATGCGGATAAGTGTTTCCAGGCACACGAAAACCATTGCTTTTCACGTGGCCACGCTGGCAGGACCCCCAATAATACTGGGAATGAGCTGGCTGGCAATGCATGACCCAGTGCTGTCATGGCATCAGTGGTCGGTCACCTTTGGGTCAGCTTACTGCTTAGAGCACAGTCTGTGAGGGAAGGATCCCAGAATGGCTGTGGCCAGGGTGGCTGGGGTGGCCCTGGAGGAAAAAGGGCAGGTGCCACCACAATATGCTGATTTGAAGGAGGTCTTCAGCGAGAGGGAGGCAGACCGACTGCCCCCCCACAGGGCATTTGACTGCCAAATCAACCTGCTTCCAGGGGCTCAGTTACCGGTGGGTAAGCTGTATGCCATGTCCGACCAGGAGATGCAGGAGTTGCGACAGTTTATTGACAAGAACCTGAAGAGGGGTTTCATAAGGGAATCAAAGGCGGTGGGGGGCAGTCCAGTGTTCTTTGTGGACAAAAAAGAGACTAATCAGCCCAGACTAGTCGTGCATTACAGGGCCGTAAACCTGGTGTCAGAACCCGTGACTTTCCCAATGCCCAGGATTGACGATATTTTGACACGTGTGAGGCAAGGGAAGATTTTTACCAAGCTGGACCTCAGGGGGGCATACAATCTGATTAGGATAAGGGAGGGGGACGAATGGAAAACGACCATGTTCACCCCTGGGGGCTTTTGAGTACTTAGTCATGCCATTTGGATTACAATCGGGGTCCGCCTGCTTTCAAGCCTTCATGCATCATGTGTTGGGGCCCCTGCTGTACAAGAATTGCGTAGCCTTTTGGATGACGTCTTAATCTATTCGGACAATGAAAACAACACGTCAGAGATGTCAGGGAGGTGCTACAGAGACTGAAGAAGCATCAGTTGTGGGTCAAGCTGGGAAAATGCCAATTCCACGCCAGGGAGGTCGAGTTCCTGGGGTACAGGTTGTCAGACAAAGGACTGGCCATGGATCCGGGCAAGGTGAAGGCAGTGCTGGAATGGAAGGCCCCCCAAAACAGAAAGGATGTGCAGAGGTTCCTAGGCTTCAGCAACTTCTACAGGAAGTTCATAAAGAACTTCGCTCACTTGACAGCGCCCATAACGGATTGTCTTAGTAGCAAAAAGAAGTTTGCATGGACAGAGGATGCGCAGCAATCCTTTGAAAAACTGAAGAAGGCATTCGCCTCGGAGGAGCAGCTCCTGCACGTGGATCCGGAGAAGCCCATGAGACTGGAGACGGACGCATCCGACCGCACGATTGGAGCGGTACTTTTGCAACCCGGGTCCAAGGAGAACTGGAGACCGTGTGCCTTTTTCTCTAGGAAGCTGAGCAAGTCGGAGCAAAACTACACGGTGTATGACCGAGAACTGCTTGCGATCTATGTGGCATTTCCGCAATGGAGACATCTCTTGATAGGGGCGTGGCACAAGATCCAGGTCCGAACTGACCACAAGAACTTGGAATACTGGCGGACCGCGCGAGTGCTCAACCAGAGACAGATCAGATGGTCCCAGGAGTTCGCCAAGTTTTTCTTCGAGATACGATACGTGCCGGGAGGGGAAAACGTAAGGGCAGATGCACTCTCCAGGAAACCGGAGTACATGGAAGGGGAGGGGCCACCAGAGACCAGGCACGTGTTCCCCGAGGACCGGTGGGTGTGTGGAGGTGCGTGGGTTGGGAAACGAGAACTGGCAGGGCTCACCAGAGACGATGAGTTTGCTCAGACAAAAATCAGGGAGCTCAGGGACAGAAAGGAAGACAATGGAGGGTTTGAGGAAAAGGAAGGGCTACTGTACTATAAGGGGGCGCTGTATGTACCGGGGGAGACTTTGAGGGGGAAGGTACTTAGACAGCTCCATGACAACCCAACAGCTGGGCACTTTGGACAGCACAAGACCATGCTACTTGTCACCAGTGGTGTAGCGTGGGGGGTGCAGGGGGGTCGGCCGCACCGGGCGCAACATCTGGGGGTTAGGGTTAGGGGGCGCAAATCCACGGGTTAGGGGGCGCAAATTACTTGCCTTGCCCCGGGTGCTGACAACCCACGCTACGCCACTGCTTGTCACCAGGCAGTTTTGGTGGCCAAAGGTTAGGGAAGACGTACGAGAATATGTACGAGGGTGCGACCAATGCCAGAGGGCAAAGGGGGAAAGGACTGCTCCCGCGGGGCTACTGGAACCCTTACCTACACCGGAAAGGTCCTGGGAGGTGGTGTCCATTGATTTTATGACAGATCTGCCCAAGTCAAGGGGAAAGACAGTGGTCATGGTAGTGGTCGATCTACTGACTAAAATGTGCCATTTCGTAGCTTGCTCGCATGCAGCAACAGCAGAGGAGACAGCCAGGCTGTTTGTGGACCACATTTTTAGACTGCATGGGGCCCCATTGAGGGTAATCTTGGATCGCGGGAAACAATTTACCTCCCGGTTCTGGCGGAGACTCATGAGCTTGCTACAGGTCGAGGTGAGCTTCTCGACGGCGAGGCACCCAGAAACCAATGGGCAGGCCGAAAGAGCAAACGGTATACTCCAGCAGTACCTACGCTGCTATGTCAGCGAAAGGCAGAACGATTGGGTAGAGAAATTAGCTTTGGCTGAATTTGCGTACAATAATGCCGAACACTTGTCCACA